AGAAAAAGGCCACACTTTCTCAGTTTTCTGTGCATTCCATAACACCTCAAATGCCACCTGAAGCAAGGGAGAGGGCCATTAGCAAGCTGCAGGCAGGCATGTCATGTGCCAGCGTTGCCAGACACTATGAAGTAAGCCGTTCCACTGTGTCCTGACTGCAGAGAAGGTTTCAGCACACTGGCTGGACAGATGACCATCCAAGATCCAGTCGCCCTCAAGTGACCACACCAGAGCAGGACCAACACATCAGACTGGTCCATCTGAGAGATCGTTTCAGATCTACCATTTGTATTGCTGCTGAAACTGCCAGCAGACACAATGTCCGCATCAGTGACAGGACAGTGAGGCTCCATGCTGCTGGCCTTAGAGCAAGGCGACCCGTCAGAGGCCCTCTGCTCACACCTCCTAGACGTCACACCCGACTGGCTTGGACCAGACAGAGGCTGCGATGGACTCGTCAGCAGTGGCCTCAGGTCCTCTTCACGGATGAGTCACTCTTCAGGCTGTTCCACGCAGACGGGAGGGCCAGAGTGTGGAGGAGGAGGTGTTGCGTTTCTTTATTCCATCAGTATAGTACAGCACGTAAAGACGATCATCTAGTCAAATTTGCTTTACTGTTGTTTAGGACCTCGGCTGTGTTATTAATATGCTGAAAATTAAATTTTAATACTCAGATGAGTGAATCCAGCGGACTGCAACTAATTAGGAAATGGATGGGCTCAGAAGCCGTTATAGCAGTGTGATTCAAATGCATAAGGATTTATCTGAACCAGTTTGTTTCCTAACCTGAAAGTCAAGAAAGTCAAGAAATGTCATCAAATCAACTGAAATGGTCAAGGTCAGCGCTAGAAATGCCAGAGAGAGAGGAGAATGTCATCAGCAATCAATGACAGGGAATGAAATATGGTGTTTGGATTCCAATATGAGGTGGCATGGTGGTACAGTGGTTAACGTTTCTGCCTCAGATTGTTGGGGCCCTGGGTTTGATTCCTGGGCTGTATCTTTGTGGAGTTTACATCTATTCCCTGTGTCCATGTGGATTTCCTCTGGTTTATTTCCACAGTCCAAAGATATACTAGTAGGTTAATTGGGTTCTGGGAAAACTGACTTTGGTGTCTTTGTGTGCATTTTAGTATGAGCAGCTTGTTTTTATCTTAATTTGTTGTTAAGTAATTGTTCCAAGACCCAAACTAGTACAGTTTGGATGTTTGGCACTTACCTATTCCTCCTATTCCTCATTAAACTGTTTCATTGCTCAAGTCATGAACCCAGCTAAAGAGATGTCCAGTAGATTGGTGTTGATTGAGAGATCCAAGATTGGGTTCGTGCTCTACAGTGCGAAAAAGCTGGGTGATCAGCTGGTTCTTGCCTGTTCTTGGCAGCAGTGACATTTTCAGAAGGTCAGGTGCTGCATCATTTTTAAATGGCTTGTTATGGTGTGCAGCAATGTGATGAGATATATTCTGCACTTGGCCTTGTGTGAAAGCCATTCCTTGATACAAATTAGAGATGGCTGGCTATATTACAAGACAGATATAATATTGTCTTGCATTTCTGTTTGTAAAAGGGGTCTTTAAGCCAGGAAACTCCATCTCTGTCCTCCCTTGTGGTCTCAAAGCCAGCATTCTAGAGCACATTACATCCATATATTTATTTACCAGATTTGGGATCAATGTTTCTTATTTCTTAATAAGAGAATGCTATTATTTCTATTGGGGAATGCTAAGCAGCACCTGCCAATGCACATTATTTTGTAAACATCTTGCATTTTAAAGAAACAATAGTCATTTTCACCATGTTCTCTCAATGTTCTCTCAATTTCGCACTGTCCCAACTATCTTTCTGATGAATGGAAGTTCTGGACTGAAGTTCGGGAGGAATAACAAGCTTCCTTCATTCCAGCAGATCTAAATTGCATTTCCTCTGGTGCCTCAGTCCTCTACGCCATCTTCACCTTTGCAACTACTCTTTGGCCTAATGGGAGTCCCATCTTCCTTGTGCACAGGGTAAATCTCAGTACCTGAATATTCAATAAAAATTCTCCAGTGCAATTTATGGTTGGCTTCATTCCTCATAAACTGGAATGTCAATCTTGCTGTAGAACATGTAGTGTTTCTCCTTTTAACTCACAATATTATCACAATTCTTAATGTTCCTAATATGTTTCAAATATTATAAACTTTTTTTCAGAAAAATGTTTCACTTTCTAGATGAGTGAAATAGCTCCTGGTAATATCACATAACCTGATAATAACAGTAATATTTACATATTATTATTATTATTATTATTATTATTATTATTATTATTATTATTATTATTAATCCCTTGTGAACTTACTTCTACTATGACTAATAATAGTATTATCACCAGAAAGCACCAAAGCAATAAATTCAACCTTTAAATTAAAATTAATCCATCGTAAAGATCAGTGTGACCTTACACATTTGTACACATTGCCACAAAGTAAGAGAAAAAAAAAATCTAAAAAAAAGACCTAATATTTGTCTTGCACTAAAAATGTCAAGCTGAACTTTCGACGCATCGGCTGATCCTGATGCAGTTGTTCATGATGCATTACTGTGACCCCGGTCTTGCAACCTGAAGACAGTATATTTTCACACCTTATTGAGAAAGTCAAATTGACTGCTAAAGTTCACCTACTGATTTACTGCTGTGGCATTATGTTTTCATTGCTGTCCCCTTAAAGCTGGATTGGATTTTTGTCTAGTACTTCATAATTACTAATTATTCATTCAACATTTCTTTGGTAGTTTGATCTACCTAGGAGAATTCATCTGATTTTTTTCAATGACAAATAAAGTACAGCAAGAGTCGTATCAGGTTTCTGGTTTGTTCATGTTTTCTTAGCTTGATCAAGCATGATATTAGCAACCATTGATGCTAATAGTGAGAATGTTTTAGTCATCAAATAGCTAAATGTAAAAGTCCCCTAAAAGGCTAAATGTGAAAGAATGTCAAATATTCTGTCAGTGTGAAAGGCTATCAAAAGCGTAGTAGCATGAATGATTAAATTACACTTCTAAAGTTTAGACACCCCTCATTGGACTTTCTGAAGTCCTTCCCAGTCTTTGTCCCAGGGTGTTTTGAAGCAGCGGTAAGATGAAAAAATGTCCGCCAGGCAGCCTGAGGAATCCAAGTGCTTGATCCTGGTGATGGCATGAGACAAAACGAAGGCTGGGAAAGTCGCTGTGCAGGATATACGCTGCAAAGGCGGAAGAAGATTGCCAGTCGGGATTTGCTGTGCCGCTGGGCTGATCAGACAGTGAAGGATGGGCACATCTAAACAGGGCTGAGAAGGACAGGGAAGATGAGTAGTCAAGTGAGTTCAGAAGGCTGGGGTAAAACACAACGCCGTCGGTGTGGTACGATGCAGGGCTGAAGCAGCAGCAAAAGGAGTCAGACGGGGATCCAGGTGACAGGGTGGTTTCAGGAACGCAAACTGAAGGTAATCAGGCAGGTAATCCTTCTTTCAGGCAGGCTGGTTGTGATGAAAGCACTGTCCTGGCAAAGCAGCAATCCCATTGATCAGGGTTTAAATATCCGTGAGTTAATTGGATGATTACCTGTTAAGTGGAGTCAGGTGACTGGGACAACTTCCTTGAACGAGTCTTAATAGCGTAGCGTTTACAGGTTCTTTTCAGAACAAAGGACCAGTGGAGACGCGATTAACAAACCAAGCGCTACTGTAGCTTTATTCATTAACAACCACACAAAACCAAACACAGGATATACACGCACATGAGGAGACTGACGGAACACGTACAAATCTTTAGGGTGGCAATTACTTAACAACGCTATACTCTTATAAGACTACACAGGGCACTAGAACTACTAGGACATTATTTACAAAGGTAGGGTCAGCCGCTGGTCATCGTGCTGACCCTCAGACTCTCCCTGGCTACCACTCCCAGCATGCCCAGCGGTACTACGAGCGCCTAGGGGCGCTTCCTCCTCACCACTAGGCGAGGGCGTTACAATAGTTTTAACTACTTGAACTAATGTAAATTATTTAACTTGTGACACAAAAAGAATCATTAGCACAGTTAATTCAGTTAATGAATGTATAATTAGGTGGGGGTCCCCATCATAAACATAAATTACAATGGATCCTCTCGATTGTAGTTGGGAAACCCTTTTAAGTGACAAGAAAAATGGTTGAAAATAAAATAATTTCCTTTTCCTGTTAATATGATGATGATGGCATGAAAGCGGCTTAGCTATTGTAAATCAAGTGCTTTGACACTGTAGCTGTGCTTTTTGTGTTTGCTGTTTTCAAAGCTGCACAAACCAAATAAAATCAGTGGAGCTTTTCTGATCTGGAAAGATGCGTTTAGGATTAATAGGAGAACCAGTATGAAAATCTGGGTCATTGTATATGAACATTTCATTATAATCTGAATGTAATTAAAAAATATCTAACATTTTTAAAATGTCTCATCAGTAAGCTGCAAGACTGTGGGACACAGGAGAAGTTTATTCAGCGTTTCAATTTCAAGATGGCAGTGTGTGTCGGACCGTTTGGTGATTGGGGATTTGTGAGAAAAAAATAAAAAACTTAAAATTAAATAAATAACTCCTTTAACTTTAGGCTCTAGGAAATGTAACATCCATCCATTTTCTAACTGCTTTATCCAATACTGAGATATGGTGGAGCCAGAGCCTAACCAGGCAAGCAATGGGCACAAGATGGGATACAGCCTGGACATGAGTCCATCGCTCAGGGCAGGAAATGTAACATGTGACACCAAGAATCATTTTCTGTTAACTGACATTTTGAATAGTTTACCTTGTTGTAACCGATCTTAGTGGTACTGATAAAATGAACACATTTTATTAATACCTAAATATGATTAAATCATATTGTATCGTATCACTTTAGAATCCCAAATAAAACTTAAGGGTTAATGTTCCAATATCCAATATACAGTATATGTTCCACATATGAAAACCACTTCAAACAATAATACAAAAAACAGTGTCATTTAAAAGTTTATGATTTATTCTATTTTGTTTTACAAATAACAATCAAAAGCAGTTAATTGAATACGTTCTGCACTTTCAGTAATAAATTCTAAGGTAAAAAATTAGCTGTGTAAGTCTTGAGGAAAACATTCCTAGACAATTTAATAAGCATTAGTCGACTAAAACGAAATTGCTAAATATGTTATGTCTGCTGATTGTATTGTGGAAATTATCACTTCTAGATCCTCAGGTATGATTTCCCCTATTTTCTTCCTTTGTAGGACTAAGCAGAATGTCAGAGCACATGTTGAATTTTGCCTGATCAACTCACATCATTGTACTGTATGTAATGTCAAAACTACCGTAATAAAAAGATTTCAAGTGGGATGGGTGTGGGACATTTAGGATAATGGTAGCATTATTACAAACTAGCAATTGAAAGTAAAAACAATCCACAAATTAAACATGACCTAATTTCAGCAATCATTTATACTGTATACAGTATTTCTCACTACAGGTAAAAATGAACAATATATGCTGTATTTTTTAATTTTCTAAAAGAAATAATTACAAATATAAGAATATTTTCATGGAAAAACAATAGAGAATAACTCTTCATTGGAGGCTCTTACATCTTCTGAGCATAAAACATTTTGTGTTCAGAGACATCAATGCGTGCTACAGTATGTAAATATGTACCCAAAGTTGATTCATCAGGAAAAACACATTCTTTAAACCTGCAGAGCTTTAAAGGAGAGGAGACCATATTGAACAGCCTTAATCTCATGGGAGGACCTCTTCATCAATATCATGTATTTTTAAAAAGCATACAACCATCTGCTTGTGAATAGTGAGGAATATTGGGACTCGGGGTGATAAATATATCACCTATTCTTACTCTCCTAGAATTCTGAAGATAATTTGCTGATTCTAAGCATTTAACCTATATTATATATCAAATAAAATGACTTTCCCCATTCTTGAAACCATAACTTCTATTACATATTTGTTATCATTCTCATCGTTCACAACAGTTCTGAAAGATATGGTTGATAAAGGACTGTACTTAAATCTCACAACAGTGTTGCTTTCTCTTAGCTACTGTATGATAGTTTACTCCTCTTCATTCCTGGTTTATAATGAAATACTGCAGGAAATACCATGGATTATATTTAGCACTGAGCTTAATTCCCAATGCTAATACAAAAGCATAATTCACAATTCACTTTAAGGCATACAAAATGATATGATTTGTTGTGTTTCTGTAACTGCCACTTTGTCCATATTTACTGTTGCACACTAGCAGTGAACTGTACAGGAATTGCAAAACATTATTCAAAAGCTGTAACAAAATACAGTACATACAGTATATTGTGAAAGATGTAAAGGGGAAATTTGGACATACTGTATGTTTTCTAGGAAAAATTGAAGCATTCATTACGATTCACTCATCATTATTTGTTGTTATAGGCTTTAAGATTGAAAAGTTATTCAGTGACTGTTTTGGATATGACATGAATAATGTTATTTAACATGATACATCATTACTTTACTCATTTAATATGAATAACTACAGTATATGAGAAGAAAAAAACAACCATTTATTTTTCACTAATGATTGGCAGTATTCCTAAAATATTATGTTTTTCTTATAATTTCTTATCATTGTTTTATATGGTATAAAATCAAGAGGGAATGAATCACTTTTTTTTAAAAAAGAGCTAAATCTTTTTCGTATAGGTTCATTGTGTATTATCTTCAGGGATCAATGCTGAGTTCAGCTTGCCCATACACTTGACGAAGAGTATTACAATCCAGGCTAACGATAATCTTGCTTCGGCCTGGTCTGCTTGGAACGAAGGACTCTGTCCACGTCAGTGAGGAATTTGGAGGGATTATGCTGAAAACAAAAAACATTCTTATTACTTAAATAATGCACTGACATACTGTTCTTAAATATTGTGATCAGTGTAAACCTGTTTTGCTACAATGAAATCAACTTACATACAGTAAAGGACATACAGTATAGCAGAAGTGCAGCAAATAGTTTCTTATTTGATATAACTTGGATCTTTGTGTTTTTGTCTTATCTGCGGGGATTGCATTGACTTTCAAAAAATGTGAAGCATATTTCCACTAAAGCAAAAAGCTTTATAAAGTGCCCAGTTTAATATGCATATGAATTTTTCACACTATCGTATTATAATGAAATACCTGTGACATTAATCATTATCACTATATCGATGTCCTGTCTGCATTGTGGTTCTTACAGTAATAACTGCAGCAAGCAGAGCAGCTAGAAAAAGGATCAGTGTGTAAATTCCTCAAAAAAAGACAAAAAAACAATTACAGAAACCTCTGCACAGAAGAGGTCTTATATTTGAAATATAAATACTTTTAATCAAGAAACAAGATATGAGCAGGTTACTTGTATTTAGTCTTTGTGGTACCCAGTCATGTTATTGAAGCTGATACCCTGGAGTCTATTCAATTATATGTGCAATTTTATGTTCCTAATAAATGACATGGCAAAAAAACACTGTTATGTAATTGTTCATAAAAATTGAAAAGTTAAATGTCCACACCTCTCAAATTGTTCCTTTATTTGGCATAGATTTTCTTTGCTTTTAGATTTTGAACTGTGTGCTCACTGATTTATATTTTAGAGCTTTTTATTGATTCTGAAATATGCAAATGAATGTTTTCCAAAACCCTCTTGGAAAACAGCAAAACCCTGGACTAAGTGTTACTTTTTCTTTATCTCAATATAAGGTTGTCTCAGTTGGAGTAGGGAAACATCAAGATTTTCTGCATTACAGGATGAGAGAGATTCGAGAGACATTTAAAATATGGTTTGCATTTTTCTAAATCTTTCAGATAGCTGAAAAACAAGAATAACGCAATCATGCTAAAATCCTTAGTTCTTATTGCAAGTTTTATTGCTTATTACAGTTAAAAGTATCCTCATGATAATCATTGGTGGCCATGTTTAAAAAAAAACGGATTTGCATTTTACTTTTAAGAGAGGTCAAAGGTTACAAGGAAGGTTTCCACTTATTTTCCATAGCAAAAGTGACCCTATTTGCACTCATCATGGATTTCTAAGGCTATGAGCAAATCATGCGATCACTGTCAGCATTGCTTTCTATAGTCGTGGACTATAATTCCTGTAGGCCTTACATTCCTCTGTTATTATTTAGGAGCCTAATTTAGAGTCATTAAGTATCATTCAATATCTGCTCAATCCATGATTCTCTCTTCTTTAACTCACTTGCCATTTTTCATGTTATTGCTAATACCCCTAATTTTGTATCTTCTGCAAATCAAACTAGTTTGCTAACTATATCAGAATTCGAACCAGTGATATAGATCAGGAAAAGCAATGAGCCAAAAACAGTTCCCTGCAGTACACCAGTAGTTACGATTGTCAAAGTAAAGGTTATGATCATTAAAATGATATGCAATGGTTAAAAAGTTCTTAGTCCAGTTTCCTGGTTCATTTTTTCAGTTTATTTAGTATTTTCACGTCTCCAATATGTAGGTACAGTTCTCATCATGAGTGAAAAATGAAATATCATTAAAGCTCTATGGTTAACATGCTTCATTTATTTAAATAAACATGCTTCTATAGTCATGAAGCAGCTTGTGTAACGAGACAAAGTTATTGACATATTCTATTATGAAATGTGTGCAATATTTGTTCAGCATATTTCATATTTTTACCTTCTTTTTATCTATTTTTAATCCTTTATTATCTCCTAAACTACTTACTTCAGTGTTTGCAATTCCCTTACGTTGTAGTGCTGAAACTTCCTGTACGCTTTGCAGTATTTTTGTCTCTGTTGCAATATTCTTTTCCATCTATCTCTTGGTGATTCTAATATCTTTTTTTGACTGTGCTTGTACTGTAGCTCAATATACTCTATGATTACCTTTGTTTCATGGGGCCTTTTATAGTCAGTGAAGTGCTGTCCACCTTCTGATTTTTTAATGGTCCTATTAAACCATTTAGGCCATATTTTCCTAAACCTGGAATTACTTGTTTTGGGGATACATTTGTTTTGAGGCTTTAACATTGTATAGAACAACCAGTGTAGTTCACATTGAGCAGTTGTGATTTTGAAGATTCCAATTGTGAATTTAATATTTCTAAGTGAAAAGCTTGGTTTCTTCTCATCCAACTGAAGTTGCTTTCATAACTGTCAAATCTCTTATAATAGTAGAAAACAGTACTCTGGAGGTGCTGAATAATTTGTTGATACTGTTACCACACATTTTCTTACTCTACATTACATGGAACTGATCTTGCCTAGGATGTCTGGGACATTTTGTGTATAGATAAGGTGTTGAGTCACAATATGCTCATGTTTACCTCTAAGTAACTGCTAAATAAATAAAAAACAGAAAGGACTGGGTTGATAATAGCAACTGTATCATTAGATTTCTTCAGCATCAGCAAGAACACTCTTGGTGCAACTGGTGTAATTCAGTCAGATTGTAGCACAGATACTGCATCCCAACATGGCTATTATACATTCTGTATGTTTTCCTTTTGTTTTGTTTTTTTCTGGAGATGGCTGAGTCCCTGACAAAATGAATACATAGCATAAGCATGCAATAACCTCTCAATTTAATAAGAGGTAAGTCTGGGGTGTAAGGGACTGTAGACAGAGCAAGAGATCATCTAGAAACTGCTGTTTTAAGAAGTATTGCTTTACTTAAGAAAGCTATATCTTCTGTATCTTGCTTGCTGCATCACTGTAATATTTTGAAGTACAGTAATTCCTTGGTTTAACACAGAAATGGGGGAAGGGGTGTCTTTTATTGCTGAAAGTTAGTTAAATCATAACTCACAAAATCATGAAACATGTTTTTTAAGCCCAAACATATAACATGAGAAAAATATACATATTATATGTTTGTTTTCTGGAACTCATAGCTTATTTTTTAACCAACTGCAATTAACACAATCAATTACTATTGTTTTTGTGCCTTTTTTAACATAAATAATTGAGCTCTTTATTCCATCTGTCAAAATAATACAGTCTGAAATTTCCTAAAGTGTACAAAACACAAACAACTCCCACAGTAAGCCAACAGGAAACATAACCCAACAGGAAACCATTGACATCCCTGAATTTAATCCTGTATAGTGTGAAGTTATTTTTACCTTCTTTTATTATTTGTGATAACATTTCCCCCTTATTGCTGGGAATTGCTGTATTTCTGATTTTACGCACAAAATTCCCCTTAAGCAGATTTTGTCCATGAAATCAAAATTCTGTTAAACCAACTGGACAGAATCCTTGAATTATCCCTCGAACCCATTTATAAACAGTCATATTATTATTATTATTAGACTTTTTTATTTCCTACCTGTAGTTCTTCACTTTGGTTCTCAGAAGTCCGGCTCCCTCCATGCGCATATTCACGTTGTCCAAGTTGAACTTCACGGGATTTGTGAATTCCACAGTGACAAACATCTGCTCATTCACTCTGGGTATGCCAGATACCTTTGAAATTAGTAGGATACTCATTAGTTAAAGCACATATTTGAAGAAGTAAATGAAAGTAAGTATGAATATGGTAAAAGCATTTCATGTGTCCCTGGCAAAACTTGGCCCAAATGGGAAATTTACAATGCAGGCTGGTAAAGACATAACACATTACACAATACATTTACCTGATAAATATTATATGAAAGGAAATAAATGTACTGTACCTGGATAAAGTTAAAAAATAGTTAAGAAAATAATAAATAGAATTATAAAAGATGATAGTTCTATTGCTCTCGAATCTAGGCAGTCTAAATCAACACCCAGATGTAAAGAGGACAAATTCACTGTGCAAGGGGTGGTCATGATAGTCAATGATTATATTTTCCTTCCACGTTGCTTGATCGATGTAGATGCCTAAAAGCTGTAGTTATTGTGCTCCAATAATTGTTCTAGTTGCCTTCAGAATCCTGCTCAGTCTGTTTTAATAGTGTGTATTAAGGTTACCAAAACAGGCTAACACAGTGAATGTAAGGACTGATTCAATGAAAGGTCTATAAAATAAAAAAAATAAAAAAATTAAAAGAGTGGAATTTTCTTAATAAGACCAATTGCTTTTGGCTCTTCACAGATACGGCATTTGTATTTTCTTCAATGGTTTGTCATCAACAACATTGCCAAGATATTCATAACTGTCCAAAAATTCAATTTTGTGCTCCTCAGTGACTGTTAATTGTGCAGCTGGTGGTTGCTTTCTATAATCAGTGATCAAGATTTGTGATACATTAGGCTGAAGGAAGGAGTTGTTACACAAAGCAATCCACTATAGGCCCATGATTAGTGTCTACATTTCTGAGGAGACTGACGACAGTCATCAACAAGCTTAATGATGTGTCTTGTCTTTAAAAGGGCTTCTACAGCTGTCTGTATGCAGAATATATAGGATTAAGGACGTACACAGCCCTGAGGAGACCCAGTGGAAGAACAAAGCAGCTCTGCTATAAGACTGTTTACCCTCACACTTTATCTGTTGATCTGTTGGTCAAGAAATCTAACATCCAGCCTTTAATATAAAAATCCAGATTAATATTTGAGAGTAATCTTTCCACTAATAAGTGCAGTTGAATGCTGCTAAAGGCTGATGAGAAATGTAAAAATAATATATATGTAATACAATATATGAGATTCAGTAGTGCAAGGGTACCATCTTTGACTCCACTTTTAGCCATGTAGGCAAACTGCATGGAATCCAGTAGGTGTTCTACCTGGTGGAGCACAAGCCTTTTAACATTTTTTCTCACATGAATTCATAACTAAAGAAGTCCATGCCGCTGGTCCGAAATCATTTAGTATTGTGTGGGATTTGTGTTTTGCAATTGGTATGATTGTTGCCTGTTTCCAAATTCCAGGTACAGTATGTTCTTCTGATTCAGAGACATGTTGAAAACATAATGAAGTATAGAACCAAGCTGCCCAGCACATGCCCTCAGTACCTGCCCACTGATGTTATCAGGTCATCAGAAATCCTGACTTGTTTTCTTGAAAATGTTTGAAACACTTTGTGTATCAAATTCAGCTTGGTTCCCTGATTTTTCCACTAAAATCGTGCTTGTCAAATCTAAAGTAAAAATGATTAAGCTAATCAGACAATTCTTTGTTAGTGTTAAAACCATCAATATTCACTGTGTTTTTAGAGAAATTACTTTTATCCTGATGCCCCACCATGCTGTAGTTTACATTCCAATTCATGCAATTCTAAAATTATTAGAATGAAGCTCTCCTTCGATTTTTTCCTTGTACTTCAATTTTGCCTTTCTAATTTTCGTTCTAAGTTCAGATCTGATTTAGCTCTTAATAGATGTGTGGCCCTGTTGTGAAGTTTATCGGAATAAACTTTAACAGGTGTCAGGGGAGTCAGCATTTCTTCACAGAAATATACTGTATATAACTGCAAACCACATCCGCGAGTTTGTCTGAATTGTCAGAAACGTCTAAAAAGACAGACCAGTCTGTGCAATCAAAACAGCCCTGCAGGCTCTGTGTGCTGTCTTCTGACCAGACCTTTCCTTGCTGCTCTTGAACTCTCTCCCTCTTCAGTGCAGTCTTGTAGGTTGGCATTGAGAACACAGTGCTGTGTTCGGATGAACCAAGTGGAAGTAACCTTCTGCACCTCTCTGATCAATCCACAGCACAGTTCCGGGGTTCTATGTTGCAAATTGGGCAGTCAACTAATTGGTAGAAACTGTTCAAAGACTTTCTCGGGCTGCGGTGGTTAAAATCGCCTTAAATCAAATTAGGTGCACTAGGAGATAGGGATTGCTGAGAGTGAATGACATTACAAATGCTGTTTACTGCAATTGTTTCATGTGTGTGGCAGAATGGAAAAGAGAGAAAAGAGAATCAAGAGTGTGAGAGTAATGAATAGTGGTGACGAGATATGAATTCTTGATTAGTAAGAAGACTGTAAAGAGAAAGAGAATTGGGCAGCTTGATATAATATGAATTTGAATACTCCTATGCCTAACAATGGGTTAGTGATTTTAGAGAAAGCGTGATTAGTTAGCAGCAGGATCTATGAGAGACAACACCAGGGAAGATCTGAAGGTGCAAGGGTCTGCTCAATTGTTACTGGAAGGGGAACCTCATTACAGAGCTTGGATTCTGGAGGAGGACCAAAAGCATAGTGTGCGGGGACAGGTCACTTAAAACACATTTAATATGTCATTTGACATGCCAGAGGTGATTAGGAAATGTCTTACACTTCAGACAAATTCAAGACTGGCGATGTCACACTATATGATCAACTAATCCCCCTAAGGGTATATACTTTCTAATTCTAATATGGATACAAATTCTGAAATTTTAACACAAATGGTTTTAACTGATACTTACATTTTCTTAGCATGTAGGTTTTTTCCTGTTTGGTGATGTTTATTTTAAAAAGCTTTCAATGACTGAATACAGAATGATCTAATCCCCGTTTTTAATTCAGGATGTTGGCTGCTTGAGTGAAAACATTTTTGTGCAAAGGTATTTTTCAAACAGAATTGAATGCAAAAATGCAAGTAGGTTTTTTTGTATTTACGTTTTAAATTCCAAAGATGCCAAAGAAAATATAAGAGAGTATATGCGTTCATTCCAGTTTCGTTCTGTACTGAAAAGCATCAAAGTTTTATTGCTTTAAATGGTCATGAAAGTAATAGTAAAGAAGCCAGACCTTAACTGTCAATTTGGGAACCTGCAGAGTGAGGACACGCTGGGCTGTAAGAATCTGGTTGGTCTCATTGACGCGGCCTGTGATGAAGAAGTTCAGCATGGCTTGTTCTACCAAGTGGCTGAGATATTCCTGTGACTTCACCTCCACATCCACTGTCTTTGCTGAAACACAGGGCAGAAAAACCAAAAACAGTAAAATAAGAGGAATAGCATTAATAAAACAAGTACAGTATAGACTTGCCCTAAGCACATTATGCAATAATTACATACTGTAGACAGGTGTACTGTTTAAACCCAACTGTACTGTGCTTAGTGAGTTTGAAAATTAAAATGTCGTCAAACTTGTGATACTCCCATCATCATCCACCCCACATTTATTCCTACTGAGAGTGCCATTTTTTTATTTGGCTACTACACCTCTTTGGATTTTAGTTCCTGGTTCTTTCAAGAAAAGGATGTATCAGTGTTGTTTCAGCAACAAAGCTAAATACAAGTAAAAGTGTACGTTCTACAAATTTCTAAGAATTCTGTTATTTTGATTGACTGTTTAGACAGGTTTTTACCTACTGTAGATATTTTTGGTTGTTTTTTTTTCTCAGTTTGATTTACTGCTTCCACTTTTTTAACTTCATTCAAGGCATATTTTTTGTTCTTGCTTTTCAACATGCTATTTTTCAAAAAGAATACAAGACAATTCAATTTTTCAATAGGAAGACATTTTCTTTTCTCAGAAGAATTCATAGAACAGAAAAGAACACTCTGTACGGTTACATTAAGATGCAGGGGATTGTTTCTGCATGTTTAGATTTATGTCATTTTTGGAAACTGAGTTATACAGGTTGCTTTGTGTCACAGATTGAAAAATAAAGCATGAGGACCTCAAATAATAGTGTGTTGATGCTCTAAATGTTTGGTAATTATTATTGCTCTGGCAACACTGTCATTCATTGGTAATACCAATAATGTTCTCTGTGATTAAGAAAGACAACTATAAGCGCTCCACATCCAAAGTAAGGGAAGCTATTGTATGAAACAAGATGCTCTGGGCTAGTAGAATAACCCTCATGGTTCATTGCAAGCCCAGATCTGAATGTGTCTTTTAACATGACTACTATACATCACACTGCATACCAAACTGTAATCTCATTTGAACAGATCTGTCTTTCCTAACATAGAGCCAGGATCTGATCCTGCAATATCCAATCCTTATCATACCCCTGTGTGGAGGCCTAAAGATTAAATGAATACACTGTAACTAGTGGCCCTATTATATCCTGAAGAATATTCTGATTTTTGCTAACAATGATCTCTAAATCACTTAATTGAACACAGTACACAATATGTTTCATTGATCATTGTTAAATTGACCTTTAGTAATCAATGAAGAAAAGGTTGCAGGTTTAATAAGTGGAGACCCCTATTTGAGCTTTTCTTCAGCTACAACTCATTAGCTAAACACCCTGAAGCCTAGTCTTTTCAGGTCTCAGAACCTAAGCAAGGATGGGCCTGATCATGACATGAAAGGGAGACGTCAAAGAATGCGGGTGCATGCAGTGATGCTGGCGGGCCACTAGGTGGCGCTTTCCCCTCCAACCTGGGTTTTAAAACCTTTGTCCCAGCACATTGATAGGGGGCTGTGCTGCAAAAGCTACCTTCTTTGGGATGAAACTCATGTCCTTCTGTCATGACCTTTATGTTTTTGACTTAGAACTGTCACTGTTATGGAAAAATCCCAAAATAGGTTAAAATGTCTGCGCCATCTACTCTACTGGTGCTTATCTGGGGTTAAAAGTCTGTTTCCTAAGTTCCAGGTCCCCCAACTCTCCACTAAAAATGTGATCTTCGCATCCATGGGACGTTTGTTGAACACCATTTCTCAACCAAAATTTCTTCACCAGCCACGTTAAAATTGTAAAGAAGGAACTGATTCTAACTTACTTTCCCCAGGCTTCACAGTCACCTGCTTTGTCAGAGACTTGAATTCAGCATGGGTGACTCCAGTGTAGTACACAATGTTGCCGCTGACGTGGATGACCATGGTACGGGGATGTGGAGTTTTATTCTTGAATTCTAGAGCGAGAATGAAGTCACTGCCAAGCTGCACATCCTGCACGTTCACGGCAATGTCCACCTCTGTCACTGGGGCTTCGATTTCTGCTTTTTTTAAGCCGTATGCCACAGCAGCTTCTGTGGCCAGCCTCTCCTCTTCACTTCCTGTTAAAGCACAAAACAAAAAAAGTAAAGTACATTATGATATAGTTATTAATTAGTCTAAAGATGAAAACATTTCCAATTGGTTATCTTGATGCAAAGGGGTTTTAGCTTTTAAGAAACAGAGAACCTGTTGTGGGCATTAAAATTCCTTCTGCCAACAAAGTTCTGTCAATGCCTCAGTTCAGCTTCAGTGGCATAAAGAAATGACAAATATTACACCATTTCCTTATGCTCATTTACTGCAGCTGGGGGATGTTAAAAAAAGCTCAATTTTGAAAATGTGGTAGAGCTTTGTCCTTAAATGTTTAAGGACCTTAAAGGTTTCTTAGCTATGTTTAACACTAAAAGCTGGCACTAACACTCAAGGACAAACTATTGGAAACAGGTTTATTTCTGTTGAAGAAAGTCAACCAGGAAAGAAGTCATATTGTGTTGGTCAAGGAAAGCATTGATTGTTTAATATTTGCTTTTTCCTACTGTACATAGGCTAAGTAAATAGAATTATTGATCCCTTAAGACCTGCTTATTAAGAAATTTAAAACGTGATGGCTGTCGAGTGCTGTTGTAAAGAAAATAAAAGAATCTGGCCAGTCACACTGGACTATGGATATTCTGAAAGCATCTCAAAAAGTAGGCTCTAAAAGAATGAGCTCAGTCCAGATGAAAGGTTGACCTTGAGTAGCTCATCTTGCGAGATTTACATAGCTAAAATCGCTACACTCAGCAAGATACCTCGTTGAGTATTCATGAGCTCTGAATTAAAGAAAAGCCTTATAGTATTTTTACAGCCAATCAATTCCATTCTTATTTAACATATCTGGCCTCTGTCAATAGAAAATCTGATTACAATGCTTTTCTTTGTGTAGTTATCTGTCTCTACCTGGCTATTATTATTATTATTATTATTATTATTATTATTATTGGAAGCATAGTCTTAGATTGGGGAAGACAAAATGTTTTTTCAGAATTCGTTCTGTTGCTGCCATTTTTAGTTACATCATCAATAAGGTCATGACATTACCACCACCATGCTTCACAGAAGAGTTTATGTTACTTGGATCATTACCATCTGCAATTCCTGAACACATTAATCTTTCATTTGTTTGAGAAAGATTTATCTAGATCTCTTCTAACCATAAAAGCACCCTGGCTCTGCACTACAGAGATGGTTGCTGAATTCACTGACAGTTCAGGGATTTTCCTTGACAGTTCTAATGTTTTTTCTTTTCTGTATATGGCGATAATATTCTAGGAAACAGTCCACTGTGATTTAGAAAAGACAGCTCTTGCCCGACTAACTTGTCCAGCCAAAGTACTTTTAATGCACAATAGCAGTAATGAATACACACCGAGTACATCATAGGGCCTATGTAAATTTTCCGAAGGCTTTTGATAATGTTTCTCAAGAACTATTGTGGCAGTGTTTGGGTTATTGGGCTGTGTTATTGCCCCGGATTTTCGTCTAATATCTCTGAAGGAGATAGACCGTCAGTGCGAAATCACTTCATTGTAGGTTCTTTATTATCAGAGTTCAAGGGCGAGCGATAAGGCTCTGTAAAAGATGTATTCTCTCTTATGCACAGAAAGGCTGTTCCTGAGATGAGAACTCTTGGATGAACAGCTGAGCGGCCGCGTGAGCGTTTAGTTGAGTCCTCTCAATTTAGGCAACAGGTGTTAGTAGTGAGACATTCTGTATTCACACGACTGCCAGAGAAAGCAAGAGGGCCAATTTTCTTGTCTCTGGGGCTCTCGGGAGATCAAACTTTTCTCCACTGTGTCACACTATACCATTTCAAATGACAGGACATAGGCATTCAGGGAAATGTGCGTGCTGGACCGAGTATTGGTTAATAAAGAGCAAACAGAGACTACAGAATAAATACTGTAGGTGAATATTCAAACTGGGGATGATGTGATTGGTGGAGTACCACTGGGATCTGTATTAGGACAACTGCTCTTCCTAACTCATATCTATAATTTAGATTTTGCTATAGTCAGTAAACTAGCAGTTGTATTTTAAAATAATACCATAAGGAAGATGTCTAAATACTATAGAAGCAGCAAATTAAATTCAGAATGATTTAGAAGAAACTCAAACCTGTGCAAATACATGATAGATAACATTAAATGTAGACAATGATCCATTTCTAAGGGCCTAGAACTATTTAACCATGAAAAAATTACTTATAAAAAAATGAATCTTGTGTTTTTTCATAACAGACATTCAAGTTTGACATGTAGGTTATATGATTTGTTTATCAACTATTTACATTTTTAAGGCAACAATGCTAACCAATTGAATGATAAAGTACAGCCTGTGATTCCTGATTCAACTGAAGTAACCAAACTGTTTTCTAAGATAAGAACTGTATTGCCCTGAAATTGAAATTTTATAAAGGTTATTATGTTAATGACAAACTTAATTCATTTTTTTATGTTTTTATTGAATGTACCACCCTCGACTCAACAGGGTTCAACAAAAGACAAATATCCATTCATACATTTTCTAACTGCTTTATCCAATAGAGGGTTCTGGGGGAGCCAGATGGAAGGCAGGATACACCCTGGACAGGACACCAGTCCATCCTCAGGCACACACACAATCACACCCAGCCAATTTTCCTCCGAAGCCTATTAACCTACCAGTATCTCTTTTTACTGTGGGAAGAAAGCCACGTGAACACGGGGAGAACATACAAACTCCATGTGAACAGCACCCAGATCCACAACTGAATCCACAGCCCCAGTGCTGCCAGGCTACAATGTGAACCATTATGCCACCATGCCTCCTAGAAGGCAAATACTGTATGCTCTTTACTATTAAAGCTGAGGCATGCCACCTGAGGATTTCCACTCTCAGAAATAGTGATTCCTGTTTCCCAAGCCATATCCTTTAAAATAAGCAAACTCGGCTAATGAAAGCCCAAACACATAAATATATTTATTTATATTAAAGTCACTGCTAATTATGCACATTTAAAGCAGTTTAAAAGCACAATAAAATAGTTCAAATGTACACTGTTTCCTTTCTGCAATATAGACAATTATGTTTAATTTTAAGTTCCACCCAACAGAATTAAAACTAGGTCTTACAGAGTTACTGTACTTCAGAGGCATGTAGCAGCCAGATACAAATTATGCAATGTCCCAAAAGAAATACAAAACATAAATCAAGGAGAAACCGGCATGCTCTCAAAAGAGAAGTGGCGTTAAAGTTTCACCGCTGTGATCTTAAAGCGCCATCATTCATATGTGAAATCACAGAGAATCTTATTAATCTCACAAGAATTTTTTCTTCCCCATCAATAAAAGCTGGTTTTGCTACTTGTAACAGTCTTTTCTTAATAATAAATGTAAGTTAAAATAACCCTTATTATATAATGGCATTATATAAATGCAAATAATAATAATTATTTGAATCTATGCAGTGCCTAACACCCTAAATTATCCCAAAGCACTTTATATACAGGTGATGTTTCAAGTTCACTGCTCAGCTGCCACCCTGACAGCCAGCCAACAAGCATCCATTTCCAATTCATTCTCTTTCTCTCACCCACACTACTGTCCTGCTTGTGAAGTCATGTAAAGCCCTCTTCTTCACTTACTGTACTTGTTGATCAATGGTCATATCTGTTACAATGTATCAGGACACATATCAATAACTACCTTGCGAAAATAATATATTTTTTTCAAATGAGAAAATCACACCAAAGTATTTGCAATCCTGCAACATCCAAAACTATAATAAAAGTTATTAGAAATAATTACAGAAACAAAATGTGCAAGAGAACAGACATCTGGCACCTTCATTAAATATCTTGTCCTAATACAAAGATCCTGGTGCACAATCCCTATTCTGTGCCTTTGAAAAATATTCACCCCCTTCCAATGATGTCTCACTTTGCTAAATTACAATGATGTAAATAACTGGTATAATCTGTGACAGGAAAATTCCTAGAAAGTTAAAGTGCAAAATGTACAAGACTGTGATTAGACCTGTACTACTATATGGAGCTGAATGCTTGGCAGTTGGAAAGAGGGAAGAGAACTTGATGAGAAGAACTGAAATGAGGATGTTGAGATGGATTCTGCAGATTTCAATGAAGGATAAGATCAGAAATTAAGAAATCCGTAGACGATGTAGAGTGGTGGATGTGGTTGAGAAGATGCGAGAGGTGAGGTTACGGTGGTATGGACATATCATGAGGAGGGACGTTGAGGAAGTAACAAAGAGGGTAATGGAATTTGAGGTGGAAGGTAACAGAGGAAGAGGCAGGCCTGGAAAGAGATGGATAGATTGTATGAGAAAAGATATGGAGGTATGTGAAGTGAGTGAGGAAGATGCGCTCGACAGAGACAAGTGGAGAAGAGCAACCAAAGCAGCTGACCCCAGGACAGTCTGGGACTGAGGCTGTGAATAATAATAAGAAGAAAACAATTATGTAAATACATTTTTTAGGGTAGTATTTTTGTTCACGATGTTAATGCGCAGGGTGATGCAGAAGTTAAGACCTGGGGCCCTGGAATTCATTCTGGACCTGCGGTGCTATCTGTGTGGAATTTGTGTGTGCTTCCTGGGTTCATGTGGGTTTCCTTCAGGAGTTTGACTTTCCTCGCACAACCTGAAGACATACCGTACAGTTAGGTTAACTAAGAAAATTGGCCCTGGTGTGAATGCGTACTGTACATGTTTTTGTGTGTGTGCCCTGCAATGGAACTGGCATCCTGTCCAGGGTGTACCCTTCCTTGTGCCCATTGCTTGCCAGGTTAGGCTGTGGCTCCCTAGCAACCCTTTATTGGAAGAACCGGTTCACAGATGAATGGATGATAAAACAGCTCAAACTGAACTGTTACCGGTGAAAGACATTAAATGTCAGCAGGGGGTCCAAAGAGAAACAAACTAAATTTTGTTAAATTGTTCCATAAAACAGTGTTCAACCCACTGAATCGATTCTTAATAGAAGCAGCTTCTGTAGCAATTACAACTGCAGGTCTTTTGGGATGAGTTTTTACTAGCTTTGCACACCAGGATGTTGCTATTTGTGCAGGTTCTTCTTTGAAAAAGTGCTCAAGACATATTGGTTGGGGATTGTCAATATACAGCAATTTGCAAGTCTTTCACTCCACAAACATTCTATCATATTAAAGGCAGGGCTTTGTCTGAACCACTCAAGAACATTCACTTTCTTGTTGTTACTCCAGATTAGTTTTGGGCTTGTATTCGGGACATGCTAACCAACAAATAAGCTTGATTTTTGTGTTTTGTGGAGGTGAGAGAGTGGTGGTAAATATTTTTTATACATTGCTACATTATAAAAGACTAACTTTACATTAAAATGGAAATTTGTGGATACCACAATCTTTAAACCAATTCCTAATCCATTGGTTTTGAAAGGGAAAAATAAACACTCCTTCCCTACCAGTTTAATAAGAAAGAATAGAAGAATAGTTAAATTTGCTCATTAATACTCTATACCTGAGGTTTCCAAACCTGGTGCTGAAGGTTGTGAAAATGGTTCAAATGTTTTATTTGGGATACATTTATTAATTTACTATCAATTTTTAAAAGGTCAAATGGGATCTCAACCCTGATGCAATTGGTGAGCTTCAGAAATGCCCTCATTGTGGTTTGCTGTCTGAAATCAATTGGACATCTGCGGAAGGAAAACAAATTTTGTTGTCTGATACAATTGTTCCTACCTGTGATGGTCTGTCACAAATTAGGAAGATCTGAAATAACGGCAACTGTGCAAATTGCTGAATGCTGAAGTGACAGGAAGCAGTAGAAGCAGGGAACAGCAGAATTACGGATGGGCGTATTTGACAATCAGGATTAACATGGGATTAAGAGTTTAGCTGGAATGAAAACCAGCAGACACAGTGTTCCTCCAGGACCCCAGTTGGAAACCACTACTCTAAACACTTCCCTGAGACTTCCCTAAAACACCACTGCTTTCTACACTCTGTGTAATGTCATATCAGTCTATTGCAGCTCATAGGGCTGTTGCCTAACCTGTTTATTATTAAATAATTATTAAACTCTTTACAGGGTTTCTTAGTGTTCACAGTGCTACAGTAGCAAAACATTTAATGGTTTGCAGTCTCATTCATTTTCCATAATTAAGGGACACTTCAGTGTGAATGAATGGATAATAAGATCAGTCAGACAGTACAGTATGTGATTAATATGCTCTAGGCTTATGAAAAAACAAAAAGCTTACTCTATATACAGCTAATGTTTACCGTATTTTGTGCATTGTATTGTTTTAAATTTTGACACTGTACAATTATTTGTATAAACTAGTATTTTAATAGTTTCCTTCTTTGCGTTCATCATTGTATTACATTTTAGTATTGCATGAAATGTATTTTTCTATTATATCTTGCCCTGGATTTAAGCACTGACTAGATTAATAATAATTGTAATAAACAAAAGGAAAAATATCGATGCTATTTTTAAATATTTGGTTTGAGGATCCCACCTAAAGAAATACGAGTTGAATGCCATGAAAAATCGAATAAGTTATGATCTATGAGCTGTGATCTACAGTATGCTCACAGTTAGAAACTGTATATACACGGTTCTTTTGTCAGAAATGTTAGTGTACTGTTTGCCTTATTGCAGCTGGTCAGTCCTTGGCAGATCCTAATAACAACCATTCATGGGAAAGTGGTTTGAGGTTTTGATAACCAGAGGCAAATTCACAACGTGCTACTTGAAATATCAGCAGATTTATACAGTAAGTCATAATAGAAAGATCAAATGCTTTGTTATTTAGTGGCAGCAAGATGACAGTATTTTATATCATTGGCCATATTATTTTGAAGAGGACATAATGTATTCTATAAAATATATGATAAAATAATGATAAGATAGTAAAAAAAACAACAATAAAATAGAGCTATACACAAAAACTACATTATTGCTAAGAGATCAAATATAGCAATCTACAGGCTGTCTATGTGTGAAATGTGCTTTTTGTAACTAGGCACCTTGGTACACTTGATGTTTGTGGGTAGGCACTATTCAGTTGTTTAAGAAAATTCTATAAACTGTCTTATTGAATTCAGTGATGATAAAAATGCAAACTGCTCTCATAAATAGCAAAAAGGCATTAAAAATTTAGAAGGTTTGACTAATTCCCCAGTGCAAGTGAAATGTTTTTTTTTTTCTGTCAGGAATCAGATATGTATTAAAGTGTTTGTTTTCCAGAACACGTCTCACACCCCATTGCTTAATAGATTAATCTATTTCCTACTGGCCTTCAGGGAATTTGTACAGATCAGTAACGTCTTTGCTCTCATCTCGGCCAACTTCCTTGGTCAATATCATCTTTCCCATGTGATGTGGGTCCACTTTTACAACTTCCTGAGTCCCATCCTTCTTCCTTTTCCAATAAACAACATCACTGTTAACCTGTAAAAGATTGACAGAGTCACTGTGCAGAAAAGACGCATTATGTATCTTGAATTTAAAAATCAGGATTAAGTATGATTTATCTGAGTAACTGCTCTGGGCTGGATTATGGCTTTTGCACGTATGCTGCCTGAACACTTTTTAGTCTTCATTCTACAGACTAAAGTAAACTATCTCAGGAAAATACTGTAGGTTAACACCTGATCTGGGAAAGACATTGATTTCAAATGGGTTTTTTTTCCCCAAGTGATTTATACACATGATACCAAATAAAGAAATTAATTTTCCAAATATCTGGGTTTCTGTTATGTAACAAAGTGTCAAGGTGAGACTACACCAGTATATCTCAGGGCACATAAAACAGGGGTAATTCAGAGACATCAATTCATGTAGCCAGCATGGTCTTTGATAGGAAACCAGATGCAAATATAAAACCAATGAGACCTTAGTCTGGCATCAAGCCCAGGTTGAAGAGCTACAGTACGAGAAAACAGCACTAGTTACTATGCTGCCCATATTTAAATACAATAAAATAATATTAAATTTGCATTTTTAGATGATAGAATTACAGGTTGTTGTCTAATTTTCTGGTGTTTTTATATTTGTAATTAAACTGTGATATTCAACCCTTTAACTCACCAACCATTTATCAATCACAAATGTTAAGATTGATGATAACTTTCCATTTGATAGATACTAACCAAAATAACACATTGGTAAGCACTCTGGATACAGACTGCTAAGAATCAGCCTAATTTGCAAAGAGCTCAATGAATGCAGTATTAACAATAAAACATCATTGTTCATACAAAACAACATACCTCAGCAAAAACAAATGGTGTATCAAAAGGAAGGTATACTCTTCCTTGTTTGATAGCATGGACAGAAGCTGGACCACATCTGTACATCCCTGCATGAGAAAAGAAGTGTTTAGTGAGCCAATTTTGATTTTAGCTTTTCAAGAGGTTAACAAACCTTGTGTTGGCTTAATCTAGTGTGATTATTTGATGGACTAGGACGAGAATTCTGTTTTACTAGTCAATGAATTAACCACCTGGGGAAGAAATATGCCATTTAGAAAGAGATTGGATTTCATTCCTGTGCGCAGGAGTCTGCAGTTTGAGCTCAAGTTACATTTCCAGTGAAATCAATGACTAAATGAATTCCAGTCATAACATGAAAGTCTGACACATAAACAAGGCTCAGGGGGAAAAACAAAATGTGAAATAGTAATTTCTTCCAAGTGTCCTCTTCAGAAAAAATGAAACATTGTTTTGATAATCAATATTTCACCAAATTACAACAGCTCCTCAGATGTGGATCCTCTTGTGGATTGAAGGAGTGAAGGGTTTTCTATACAATTTGCTGCAAAAAGGAACTCCTGCCAAAAGCACACTTCCTTGAGTTTTCTTTTATTCACAAACGACATCTTTTACTTTTTTTTTTTTCATTTATTTAGACGGTTATTTTTCTTGTTATGCCCTTGTTTAGGGATTTGGAATCTTTTCAGCTCACCACCTCAAACTTTGATTCAGGAGAGATGTTGTATTCATAAGCCTTTGAAACAATGCAGCCGCATACAGCAGGTGCCCAGCAAGACATAGGGACAAATGTTTCATGTTAAGTTGAAGACTTGCTGCATGACTTTAAGCTCTGGCAACACGTGGCTAACAGTAAGCCGAGAGTCATGGTAGTGCTGTTTTAGTTCAAACCCTGGCAAAACTTGACCAACAGTATGCAGCCAGTCACAGCTAGCTAATTAAACAGCTCTGATTCAGAGGAGTAATTCATCTTGAATTCTTTTTGGTAAGTTAAATTTACTACACTTACATTCAAGATATTGGGAGAGTGATCTGCTCTGCAGCAAACATTTTTTAAAATTCTGTTCACAGGATCAAAACTATAATTAGGTTCTCCAAGCTAAAAATACAGTGCCACTGCTCCAGTTTAACCTCAACAGCTACCTAAAATGAAGTTAAGGATTTCACGGAATGTTTAGTTTGAATCCTGCATTTTTTAATTTCATACATTACGGAGAACAAGTCACAAAACAGTTAAAAACAAGTTCTCTTGAAAAGATTGATATAAGCTTTACTTTGAGAAAACATGCCCTAAATAATATTTGATAATGTATACTTGACAGACACGCTGTGATTTAGAAGTAGTACTTCCTATTCAAAGGAATATTTTAGACACTGTATACATTATATTACACATAATTACACCGTTAACTATAATCTGGTACATGCAAACCACAATTATATTTTTTAATGATAATTATGATGCATTTTGATGAAGATTGATGATTGATTGTAGCTTCTATTATGTCAAAACAGATTACCTTGGTTTTAATGTACCACAGATAAATGCTGAACTGAGGAAGAGGTCAGCCTTCAAAATGGTGATGTACATGTAGCATTCTAGGAGATTCCTTTCTCTGTGCTTGTGATATATGTCATTCTTTATAGCATTTCTAAGTACTGAGACCTGTGTGTTCCCTTATCCTGATTTAACTAAATGTTGCACTGAAAAACTGTCTAAGAACAGGCTTCTTCCTTGAGCAACAGTTATTTCCACTTTACTAAAATATTTCCCCAAACATACAAGAAGAAAAAGTCTTCTTCTAGTCTTACCATCACTTGTTTCCTGGGGAGTTGCATCCACAGCCTGCCAGCCTCCAAAACCTTCTGGAAGGTCTGATCTAGTCATCCAGCACTCATTCCAACAGTGATAGTTCCTGTAGGGAAGTTTGTAAAACACCTCATGCTCTGTACAGTTCTCCTCAGTACAGAAGCACATCATTTCTTCCAAGCTGCATTAAGTTTACTATACAAGTGGACATTTCAACATGTGTGGCCACTGTTAGAAACCATGCAAGCTGTAAATTTGCCATCTGTGCTTTGCACAAGGCTTGTGATGCTGGTGGGATTCCATCCCTGTCTTCTTGTAGAGTCTGTGTTCACAGGTCTCTGCCTTAGATGCCACACGTTTTCCCATCTTATCCCAAAGATGTTCCATGGGGCTCAAGTATAGTGAGGAGGGATCTACTGTAGCATATCTCATTCTCCTCTGCCTTGAAAGCCACTGTTACATGAACAGCATGAGGAGGTGTGCTGTCCTGCTGGGATGTTATCATATACTGACATTCCTGCCCAGAACGTCACACTTGAACCTCCCCATTGATCTCTCTTGTATGCTCAACAGCTCTGCACATCTGCACTACACTTGCAGGCACCCACCAGGGTGATTGGTTGACACAAAACCTTGATTCTTGGTTCAAGAGAACTTGGCTCTTTAATTGGATGGGTGGGAGGAAGCTTGGCATTGAGAAAGTAGTACCACACTTTCTAACACCAAGTAGTACATTCAATACAATAGTCTTTTTCATGATCTTGTTGAAGTTTTTACTTCCAGTGCCATTGTACAACAATCCAGACCATTACCAAGTACTAGGACAGTCAGGTCATTGGCTTATTGTCTTATTCACAGGGTGGTATCCCTACACCACAGCAACTCCAGTCACTATACAAGGAAATTAGTTATACAAGGCTGGTGTAGAGGGAAGATTTTCAGATAACAGTTCCAATGACACAATTCATAATAACAAGCTGTTTCTAGTTGTCTCCCATCTCTGTAAAGACTAGGCCCAGCCTTGCTTAACTTCTGAGAGCTCAAGAGATCAGGATACGAGGTGGTAAGATGCCAAATACAGTAGTATAACTGCAGTAAGTGAAACTGAAAATTGCATTGCATTGAAAATAATTGGAATAAAATGTTTGCTGACAATAAGGAATGACACTATGATTCATATTTATTTTCATTGTTATGCAACACTACTCTTACATTCACTGAATATTTTTTCTAGCACTGTGGCCCAGCTGCATTGGATCAGCAGCCCTTTTGCTGTCCAGAAATATGGGGATTTGTTCTGAGCAGCTGCCCTTTATCATTCACGGTGTGGGTGCTGAGGTCAGAAATGGAGAAAATGGAAATAAAAATGGCGACTCTGGAGGAGATGAGTGTGCAATGAAAATATTTGACGACTGTAAAATTACAAAAAGATAACTACTGCTGTTTTGTTACATTCTGAAATAGTATTGAGAAGGTTAGTCTGTTGGTATGATCATTCACAAACTCTGGGAGGTGATGATAAACTCCATGATTTTACCATTGAAAATTATTTTTGTGTGTGTGTGTGTCAGAGGAAATAAAAAAACAACTCACCAAACAGAATCCTTAGTTAGATTTCTGTCTAGTTTCCCATCTTCATCCACAATGGCATCCGTTTTTAAATTCCCGTCGTTGTCGTGAGCTGAGAAGAAGTTGGTTACAACCCGCGCAGGTATCCCAAGGCAGCGCAGGACTAGGAACGATCAAAAGGGCAGCATTTCTTAGCAAAGCATCACTGTGGGAAAATCCAATTTACAATCCAAGATGCTTCTACTTGTAATCTCAGAATTAAAGACTCAGGGAGACAGTTTCTTTGCATATACGTTTCTTATTACACATCTTTCATGATGTCAAACTTTAAACTCAGCATGGTTCTGTTATATAGAGAAACTTCAGAAGTATATAGATTTTTCTTTTTCTTGATAGTATGGTGTTTAGTTAAATTGTACGAAATTTGGGCTTGCCTGAACAAAGTAAATGCCAGAGAGCAGTGTTTAGTCAAAGACCTTTTTTATAAGTTCAGGCCTTGCTAAGTAAGGGCAAATTTATAGTCTTAGCCTTTGCTGGACTGAGTCTCATACTAGAAGCAACTTTTGGCTGCTATTTGCCTTTTTTGGTATCCTCAGTTGTCTGCAGAAGGGTTTACAGTGAGAAGCTGCACTTTGATTTATATTTTTTGTTTTAGAGGCTTATGTACAACATACAGTCTTTTTTTATGAAATAGCTACAACTATCTTTTTTTTTGCCTCAACACCCAAAACTCTAAACTTCCTTTAATCTGTTAGGAGTAGGGCAGACCACATGTTACAAAGACTTTGCGCCTGGATGATAGGCTTTCCAGTGATTTACTTAACAGACTGCTCTGCACAGAGAAAAGGTCAAGAAGAATTCCAATTAAAGTAAAAAATATACAGTATATAACCTGTAATATGTGACAAGACATAAAGTAAAATACATTTATCAGTAATGAAAATTTAGTGAATACAGCTACATCTAGCAGTTATAAGAATATACCATTAATTCCCTATTTCATTTAAAGTTCTTGTTTATCTATATGAAAAGCATTTGTTTTCAAATATCCCCTTGCCTTTCTCCAGGATCTAATATCCATGTAATTGTTTTCTTAATGACTTCTACCCTTGGGGTTTTTTTGTTTTCTAATGTAATCGCTTATATTAATGTAATAACCATACATTACATTAAGCAACAGCAAGTCATATAAAGGGACTGGAACTTGCAAGCTGGCAAAAAAAGGAGCCACTCACAGGCACAATGTCAAGAAAGACTCTCTCCTCACTTTCTGTCCTTCTCCAAATTCCGCTTAGACTAGTGGAGCTTTCAGTTGAGCAAAGTATAGTTTTCTCTCCCATTTCCACTCTAGGGTCCATTTCAGATGTGTGCACAGAAGGTAAATGACTAATACTTTAGTTGCAGCTTATTGCTAGGCTCTGTGCCATCGCTCTACACTATCCAAAGTTTAGCTTTGCAGCTGAATAACAGAAATAACAGTAATACAGTAGTATCAAAATGTTCTCTTATCTTCTTCATACATTCTTTTTTTAACCTCTTTATCTAATACGGATTCAAGGAGGAACTGGAGTCTATCCCAACAAGCAACAGGCACAAGGCAGGATACACCCTGGACAGGAGGCCAGTTCATCCCAGGGCAGACAGTCACAGATACACTCATACCTAGGGCCAATTTTCCCAGAAGTCAATTAACCGTACCAGTATGTTTATGGACTGCGGGAGAAAAACCCTTACGAATAAGGGGAGAACATGCAAACTCCATGAAGACAATCCCAGGAACTGAACCCAGGGCTCCAGTGCTGTCAGGCGGCAATGCTAAATACCGTGCTACAGTGTCATCCCCCATTATGTGCTTTGCTCTGTAATTTTTTTTGTTGCAGCATAAACAGCACATATTTAGAAAGGGACACTTTGCAGAATTGTAAGACTGTGTTAATTACTCAGTTAACAATATACAGTACATTCATGAATAGCAATTGTGCTGTACAAGTCAGGTTGTGAGTTAGACTTTCCTAATAAAAAAGTTTCACATGGCGGAAAGGATTTCCGCATTGGTTATTTAGAAGGTAAAAATCATATTTCAAGAAAAAGAAAACATATTATTGAAAGCTTTGAGACTGAACTGTCACATTGTCGTACACACCTGGAGGAATACAAGATGAAACAAGATTTTGACCCTTGGAATTATATGGGAAAATGGATAGCGCCTCGCTCAAGGTAAACACAGGGCAGTTCAATGTTCAAATTCTTCATGACACAGACCACGTAAAAAGTAGGAAGTGTGCTTCTGTTTACTGTTATTTTGTATTAAGTTCAGTACAAAATGAACTTTCAATTCCATTTGATTCTAGTCGTGCTGAACAGCTTGCATCCTGTCCAAAATGAGCAGTCATACTATAAATATCTGAAATGATTGTACGTGTACAATTACGCATCCAATCTCTTTGTATTTTTATCCTAAAACCAGGAATTAAGGCAATGCAAGCCAAAAATAGTCTGTGCATGAGTAGGAAACTCTGGTATCAAATACAATGACATCTGCAGATTTGATTCACTCCCTTGTGTAAGTGAAGGGGATACGTGCCATCTGACCTAAAATACTGCACAATATGGTGATATGAAGCAATGGTGAAATTGAAATCAAGACTCTTTGAAAACTGAGCAAAACCCTTTTCATTACTCTACCTCTACAAAAACATTTATAAATCCTATTAAGGGAATATTAGGGAAATCAATCATATTGGGGAAATAAATTAGACTAATGTCGGTGCCTCCCTTTTTTACAAAGACAATTGAATTAAGCATTTGGAATAAGCTCCCTGAATACAATGTGGATGCTGATTCACTGAGATCCTTCAAAAAGCTTTTGACAAAATCTTGGGATCATAAGCTACAACAAACCACATGCCAACAAAGTATTACGAGAAGTGCTGGGACCACAAACCCAAAACTGTTACTTTTGCTTTAGAAAAATCTGTATTTGTGATAACGAGGTTAGCTATTGATGTACCCACTAGAAATACAATGACTGTACAAATGTTGTTGGGCTTGGGTGTAACCTTTTGTTTTACAGCCTTCAAAAATTTGCAGAAGTGCATGTAATGGGGACAAAAGGGTGTTGAAAAGGAGTCCTACCACCTGTCCTTACTTCTTTCACAAAACTTTTCTGACATTCGTTTGTTTATCTGTTAATCCCTAACAGAAAATCTCCTTTAGGATACTATAACCAGTTAAAGACCTATTTTTTCTGGCTAAAGTTCTATAACAAATGGTGGTCTCAGTTGCCACGCAATTTGTCCAATGATGACATCAGAACCCGATTAATCATCACTTAGCCCTAAACATGGCAAGGAGACTTGTTAGTCAAAGATGCCAATGACTGATTAATACCTGCAGATTGTGGCCCAGCTGCTATACTTGTACTACTTGATTCGAGGAAAACTGCTCATCTAATCTAATAGATATTTCCTGCACTGATCTGTGTTATTTTGAGTTATCTTGGTAACATGACTCACTTTGTATTTTTCTGTATTTTTTTCAAATATCATAATCAAGTATTATTTTAATTATTTCCCATTGGTTACCTTTGGACTAGGTCAGGCACAGGATACTGGCAATAACGTTTCTGATGATCACGAATCTGATTAAATTCAGATTTTTTTTTAGGCAAGTGCTGGTACTAAAATGACTTTCAGTCCTGGGTAGAGGAGTTTATTGCCATATGTACATGTACACTGGAAGTTTTATTCGGGCTCGTCTCCGGACATGCACAGTGCAGCAGATGACACAGTACAACAGACAACACAACACACTGTAGACAGTACATTACAAAACAGAACATAATAAATAGTGATTAAATGATCTGCAACCATGTTATTATCCTATAAAATATATAAATTTCTCAAAGGAGCATTTTAATGAGGTAATCATGGTGTTCTTTCTTTGCCTACATAATCCAACCCCAAAAAACGTTCTCTCTCTTTACCTGGAATACTAAACCATACTTTACTATGATTCCAGAGCTGACTGGGCATGTAATGACATGGACATTATGTTGATATTTCTTATCAATGAACAGATTAGATTTAAGTATGTAAAGAACTCTTCTACTACAGTACTATTCAGATCCTTATCAAATTCGAGGCCTATTCAAGGCTGTTTAATTTTTGCTTTGTTTCACTGTGTTAACTGTTCTGAAAATTTAAAACTCAAGTCTAAGAATTAATTTTTACCTGCAAATAAGTGAATGACTCTCTTTGTTTCAAATTAAACCAGGTACTATCAATGGTGTGGCGGTTCACTCACACTCGGCCTTCACTTCAGTTCAGTTTATTGTCATATACACAAGTGCAATTAAATGCTTATTTGCATGTATGCTCCAATATAAAGACATTAGAGGAAAGAAAGGAAGACTCAAACACACTGTACTGTATGCCCTGTATCAGTTTGTGAGGTAAATTTAAGACTGGTCAATCTGCCTGTCCACTAAGGCTGTGATAAGCCCTCCTCACAAAATTTTAAAAAGGTTTTGCCATTATAAGAAAGTTTCAGAAACATATTGACTTATCACAAATAAGTGTTAACTGTCATACTGAGAACATATGTAGGGAGCGTCTTACAAACTCTAAGCATTTTATCTTAACATTCAAGTGCTCTAACAATTACCATACTGTATATAATTACATGATTTCCAATTTCAGTCACCCAATTTTTTTTTTTTTAATTTGTATTCTTCACGTCTTCTTTTGTTACATCTCAAATATTAAGTAAATCTGGAACTGATCAGTCCTGGTATAGGTCACCTTAAAAGAAAACAAGGCTACTGCTGGGTGGACCAGTGGGTGACACTCTCCCGTCTGGACCAGAATTTCCAAACTAATGCCCCAATATGGGGAGAGAAGACACTGCTGCAGGGGGTGTCATCTTTCTAATGAGATGTTAAACTGAGGTTCTGATAGTTGTTCGTTAAGATCTCATGCTATTTTTCATAAGAATAAGGGTATCAACCTCAGTGCCCTCCTATAATCTATTTCGGGAGTGCACAAATTGGATCACTTAATTTCCCCTTAAAGAATCATTAAACCACATGGTTTAAATGGTTATGAAACGACAATTTCCAGATTTTAGGAACAAGTTAAGGTTTATTCCATCCTGATAAGAGAAGAAAAGAAACACAATGTTTCGGCTGTGGAACCTTCTACCTGAAGAAGTTGGACACCTGAAAAAGGCTCCACAGCCGAAACATTGTGTTTGTTTTCTCTGATGCAGCTACCTGCTTGAACATTTCCAATTTTGGTTTGGTTTTCCGAATGATACGGAACAGCCTAGAGGTGTATCTTATGCACCACATTTTTAGAACATAACATGCATCTACTGTCCTACACTTGGTATCCATAAATTCCCCAACTCTTTCCCCACAGCTTTCTTGGAAAATGTGTTTGAAGCAAGAGTCTCAATTTTTCCTTCCTCCTGCCATTTTGCAACCAAGGAGCTTTGGCAACCAAGGTCAGCCAAAGCCATAAGACCCTTCTATGCACTTGAAACTCCTGTTTAAGTGTTTATTTACAGTGTGGTAAGTGCTGTTACATCCCACTGCTACTGCACTGTTTAAGGAAGTGGATGTTGCCTTCAAAAAGCCATGAAATATTCAGTAGCTCTTTTGTCAAGAGAATTTCAGGCACTCAGACTATTCAGAATCCCATTTATCAAAGTGGTGGATCTACATGTCTTCCTAACAAACTTTGTGAGTCAAATTTAATCAGTCAGAGCTTCTCAGAATCAGGCAGAAGTTCAACAGTAATCTATTCTATTAAAATAAAACCTTTGTGGTTATGAACATAATTAACTATGGAGAACCAAACAAAAAGACCAGTGTTAATTCCAACAAAAATGTGATGAAACTCTAACTTTTTAACTTTAATTTCACCATTTTACGTATTTCCATGCACAAATGCCAGTAGTAATGCAATTCACTAATATTTCAATATGCTCACTTCTAAATTTAGTAAAAACAATTCAAAAGACCAATAACTCACCATGTACCTTCTTTATAACTTAAGTTCCTCTATTTTTACATACAAAAATATGGAGAATATATGAGGATTATAACACAAGCAGAATCTATCATCCCTTGTAATATACAAAATAAACCAATGAGAATATTTATGATAAAATGGCTCTTACAGGTATTGAAGACTGCAGCGAAGACCCAACACTGTCCATAGCACACTGGCATACCACCACTGGCATAGTTTAGCAGAATTTCCACACTGCCTGTCCAGGCTGTTGGGGCAACGCCATAGAGGTAGTCTCCACTCCAGTTACCCACAATAACTCCATCATCATCTTTTGCGTTCACCTGCGACAGTACATAACACACAAGCATTAAATCACAATTTCCCATTTTTAGGAACAAGTAAAGGCTTATTCCATCCTGAAAAGAGAAGTAAAGAAACATAAAATTTAGTCTGTGGAGCCTTCTTCTACCTGAAGAAGGTGGACAGCCGAAGAAGGCTCCACAGATGAAATGTTGTCCTCTGTCAGGCGATGGAATTTTTTAATAAAATAAGTAATATATCTCCTTTCTGATTCTCTGTAAAAGGCTCACACAAGTGCCTCCAAAAGTTTTATCGATGGTTTTGGTCCTCTTTGAGAGTGTTGTTTACTACACTGTTGAGCACTGGGACTTTTCTCTCTTCAGACACCTCAGTGCTTTGATTCTCCAATGTAGTTGTTCCAGAACTACATTATTTGAATTATTCTAAACTTTATTTAGCAGTGTGGTTGAAGCTTTCATCCCAAATTTATACAGCAGGGTATTTTACTGATACAATCTCAGTGATGCACTTTATGTCAGAAGCTGCCCATGCAACAGAAGAAGCCCACCTAGCTTGTGGACCCACAAACCTCCAGTTACAAGTCCAAGACCTCACTCACTACACTCGCAACAGCTGGGCAGCTATGCAAATCATTACTTGCTCAGTTTAAACTGTAACGATGTGTACTTTGTAACATCTTTCGTGCTTACTTTACCCATTTGCTGTACACAGCAAATAAAAGTATGGTTTGTTGGTTCTATAAAGAAAGGCAAACTAGATAGCAGACACATTTAATTTGTAGTGTAGAAGGCATAGGGAGGCATGGAGCTACAGTGGTTAACATTGCTGCCTCACAGTGTGGGGGCCCTGGTTTCGATTCCAGATCTGGGGTGCTCTCTGCATGAGGTTTGTATGTTCTCCCAATGTTCATATAGCTTCTCCGGTTTCCTTCCACCGTCCAAAAACATACTGTTAGGCTAATCGACTTGGCCTTTGTGGGCGTGTGTCTGCCCTGCAATGCACTGGTGTCCTGTCCATGATGTATCCTGCCTTTTGCCGGGTGCTTGGCTGAGGAGCCAATCATGTGAAGCTACCATCTGTGGGATTCTGATCAAGTGCCTCTTAGTCAAAATCCCCCCAGAAAGGTCCCCCATGACCCTGAATTGGAACAAGTGGTTAAAAAATGAATGAATGTAGAAAGTATATTTGAATGGCCTACTTACCATTGCAGAGGCTACCCGGCTGACTTTGACAGGGTTCCCCCTTCCAGTGAGAGGCATCTGAGCTTTGTCCATTATGAAGAGACAGGCATCCAAAACTCCATATTCAAACTGCGAATGGAAGGAGAAGATGGTGCATTCAATACTATACTGTACTGTCACTGTATTAGCAAACCATTTTTATGTATATGTAATATTTACATTAGAGGGTCTCATTGTCTCTGTCTGTCAATCAGGCTTTGCATAGCCTCTACTTACATCAGGAGAAGGTCCACATTGAAGTTTGACCCCAAACTTTTAGTTGGGAAAGGTACCTTATTGAGAGTCTGAACCACTGCCTTGATTGAACCATGCATTCTGAATATGTGACTACCACTACAGATCTGTGTGGAAGTCCATGCCTGAGGTCAAAGCTACTTTGATGTTGTTACAATTTTTTTTTTTGTGAGAGGCAACTGTTTATTCAGAATTGAGTAAACAGCAACAAGACCATTTATTGTACCTGCACTCACAGATCACAAAAACACACACTTATTTTGCTGTCCGATTAAGTAATATTACTCTGGGTTACATGAAATGGACAAGGAGAGAGCATATAGACCATACTCAGACAGACAGAAAGAAGTACTATATAGGAATGCGGGTTCCCTCTGGTTGTGTGGCTGTAGTGCTATATATATATATATTTTTTTTTTAAAGGAGTGGCATGGTTGGACCACAAAAAATGTATTGTAACACAACGGGGGCTCAGGCGGGCGCCCTTGCCGCATCTGGTCGGCCCAAAGTATAGGTGGCTCGAACCCGGGACTTCCGCGTCTCTCTACAGCGACCTAGCCCCGTGAGCTAAAGAGAGATCTCTCCACAGCCCAGTAGCTGTGGTCCTGCTATCACAGGGAAGGGCGGTGACGTCACCCGCTCTGGTACGCCGGCTCTTACACGCAGTGCTTGTCGGCCGTAAGCGTTACAGTATTATCAAACAGCAGTATCATATACTACTTTATAATTTTTAACACTCAACTCAGGATCAATTTATTTAAAATCATTTTAAAAAAGGGAGCAAATTACACAGCATTTTGAAATTTCTGTTCTCAATTCAACTCTGCATACAAAAAGGTAATGTAATTCAAACTTATATTCATAAGAAACAACCTGCAGGATTTCTAAAGGGGAATGCTGCTTTCTTATTCTTGGGAAGCCAAGAGTTAAAACAGATGCTTCAGAATGTCTTGTACTCTTTATTATAAAACAATCCAGAAGTAATTATTTCTCAGCAGCTGTTTCTCACTATCCTTCATTTCAAAGATACAGGGGTCAACAAACTTAGTATCTTAATTATTTCTTTATGCTATTACTACTTGAAAGTGTAAAGTTATTGGAGTGGTAGAGAAGGATCAAGCAACCACTGAAACAGAGAAATAATTGGCCACTAATTAGAAGCACACTATCTTCAAAGTGAACAGAGACCTCAAAGACAGCATGGTATCCTCATCTGCTAATGAAGGCTGTAGACAGTTCTGGTCTGTTAGATAATAAGCAAACCATTAGTGTTTCTAATACATAATCGAATAATTAGGCCAGTGTCTCCTTGATCAGATATACTAAAAAGCTATAATGGGAAAACCAACCATGCTAATAACTATTGCTTTTATTTATTTTTTTGAATTATCTACTCTCATAGAATATCTGTTAGGGGAACATAAAGGGTAGTCCACGAAGCTATAGCAATTCATGTGTAAGTATCCTGAAACTGCCATGGGTTCGAGGTTTCTATGACTTCCTTAAAGTGCCTTTTTAAATACAGCACATTTAAATTAATACAAACCTGCAGAGCACAAAGACTCCAATATTATACATATAACCAATTAGACCAAAGATAATAGAGTTCCTGATATCACAGCAGCAAACACTTTGCAGATAACATGCAACCAAGTTCAGGGTGTTGCAAGCAGGTAAAAATAAAATCGTAGCTAAAGAGAGTGGTTACATTACTTTCTTCTCAGGAATTTGTCTCGTGCTACTTCACAAGACAAATTCGTATATCAACCGCTGCACTTTAAGGAATTTAAAAACTGTGTACTGTATATTCATATTCAGCTGTGAAGTGCCTTTTTATCTCTCTGCCTTCTTAGCATGAAGAAGGTGCTTTTTCTTACACAGACATTTTCGTTTAAATACTGCATTTACAAATCAATAACTAAACAGTAATATCTCAAGCTGTAGGACTGAAAAAAGAAGCTGGCTGCTGGCAAGTCAAATGAAAAAGAACTAAAAGGGGCTAAGTAATAAGGTGACCCGGCTTTTTTTTAATATTCTGAAGATCATTTTGGTGTGAAAGGTACACGAAGGCCTGACATTGTAGATGCCCCCACACAGAGGAGCAGACCTCCTCTTTGACAGCACACAAAACATTTAATCAGGTACGATAGATTTTATTCCTGTGGACAAAAATGGTTTGGCTAAACAAAAGAATGAAAAAAGTTGTGATTTTCTTTACAAGTTGTATAAATTGCAGGAATACCTATTAATCTAGAGCAGCAATAAGTGTTTTTACTGATCAAGAAGAAGGGAGCATTTTCAATTATCTGATTGGTTTCAGACTACATTCCTGATAGAAGAATGAATAAAGGTTTATATAAGAATCACATTTGTTTTGGATGTCACAACTTGATTAGAGTAACATGCTTTTCACAACATTCACTGGAGCTCTGAAGCATAAAAGGGCTTCACTGCAAACATTTAACAACTGTAAGTAAAATGGAAGCAACAAAGAACAAAATATAAATCCTGAAAAAAATGAAAAAAGCAATATTTGGAGCAGTGTACATCAAAATGAAATTATTTGTCTGTTGTTTCAGTTAAAAATCCAGTTTTTGTTCCTTTACAGTGTGAATGACTACATGTTTAGCTCTGTGAAATTCTAGAATTACCTGTCCAAAATTCCAAGGCCTGCTCTCCACCTCACTGGCTTCCCCAAAGTAAATAATGCCCGCTTCATTCAGGACATATTCTTCAATTTCCCCGTCTTTGCCCATATACACTGAATCATCTATGAGAGAAGAGTCATGTGTTTAGGTGCACAGCATAATACTTTCCTGTGAGAGACTAGCCACAACCTCATCAACCCCATGTCAAAGTGATTCTTCAATTGCAGTTTACCACACCTTGAATTATGAATGAAAAGAAAAGGCACAGTCATAACTGACAACACTTATTCAGACCAAGGCTCACTTGTAAGATTTGTGAGATGACAAAGCTCGAATGAGTTTCTAATCAGCATCAGAGCATTCTACATCTTAATCATGAACCTCCTGGTTTAGTTTGGCAAGTATCCTACTACTTGTATTTCTAAGAATTTCTCCATAATCTTTGCTTCCAAATCTCTTTTTTTTTTCTCTGGAGGCTGAATGCAGGTCCATCGAAATCAATCTTATTCCTGAGCGGCTTGTTATTGTAATGAGACATCTTAAACAGATGCCAAATTTCAAAATGTAAAATAGAAAATGATTTCTACATCTCAAAAGATAAGGATTTTATACTACTACCATTCCTATTAATAATAAATAGCAGAAGGTAGAGTTCACCAGGGTCCAAAGAGACATCTCTTTTCATGGACAAGGGTATTATTTTCTGCTAGAGCATTTATGGTTTCCTATAATACTGCACGTTACAGTATAGCCCACTCCTCTGTCTTTAAATACTGTACCTGTAAGTCAGTTTTGCATTCCACTTTAATAAGGAGTCAAAGGTTATGAGCAAGGTTATTTCTGAACAGAGAATTTATGGGTGCCTATCTGTCTTCCACAGTAACAATAAATTTAGCTACTTTTAAAGAGAAATAACAACACAGTTTTGCATTTGACATTTAAGAGAGGTCAGAGGTCACAAGCAAGGCCTTTAATTATAGCTAGATATGGTTTACTACACATGTTCCATGGGAAGATTTAACTTTTAAGAAAAGTCAAAAGTCATGGGAAGGGTCAGTTTGTGATAAGAGTTTTTGTTCCTGTTAGTGTTTCTATTTTGTGCTACCTTGTGTTCTATAGCAACCTTAATCCTATCTGCACTCATTATGGAGCTATTAACTAATTTTTTATTTGACCAGATAAACGTACAGTACTAAGGTCAAAGCTTCCAAATTATGTCACCATTCAGCTTGTCATGAAAACAGTTTTACCATGGGCATAGACTAACACATGTTAAGATGTTCCATTTCAGAGAACAACAATTTTCAAAGTTAATCAAATTTTGAGGAAACTCCAATGTGGTGTTAAAAAATATGGCCTGATGGCACAACTTTACTCTGACACAACTTAGCAAGGGGCCAAATGTTTTGAGTTTTTTATCAGGTGTCGACTTCACAAGTATTTGAAAATCCACAAATATTTGAAATACCTTTAATTGCAAATTAACAGGGGCATGAAAAATAATAATCTGAAAATTTTCCAGCAAAGATTTTCCTTTGTCCCCTAATAATTATGCAATTTAATATTTGACAGCTTACACATGAAAAAAGTAGATCTGTCAGCACAAAGGCAAAACTTTGTGTTAAATTAACTTTCAAAGCAAACATGGAAAGATGTTTGGTCAACAGCCAAAACTATTACTTTACAGCATGTCTCATCCCTTTTTCCCAGAATCCAGTACATTTATCAAAAGCACAATGACAGATAAAGTCAAAGCATAATGTTTTTTTTTTCTTTCAAACTGGAATACTATGAGCTTGTGTCCAAACTCATTGATCCCCTCAAAAAAGTGTTTTCTCCAGGTGGTCAGCTGAGTGTCAGAGCAACTTCAGAAGTATACTGTACTGTAATTCCTGGCATGTTCTTGTAGCTCAATCGGAAAACTAGACAAGACCACACAGACTTTACACAAATTACCAAGTCCTTCGGATATGATAACTGCAGCCGCACTTCATCATAGCCCATGAATTCTAGGTTATGTTTGATCATTTATTCTTTATTTGCCCTTGAAAAACACAGCAGATTTAAAGGTAGCCTCCCAAAGAAAAGCCACATAAGAAGCAACACACTGACTGCCAAATGTGGGTGAATTGATGATACAGAGCAACTGCTATGCATATTCTGTTTTAGAAAGAACTGATTGAGGATGATGTGTTTCTGCACTTGAGCCAAAATGAATGAGAACTAGCTCATAAATGTGTAAACAAAGCAGATGATGCATTTCTGCACTTGAGTAGTTTGGGAAAGTGGCTTAGACAGAAGTGCAGATGGATCAGTAAAAGTCCCTTTCACAACAAGTGCAGACAATCTACGCAAAAGTTTATCATTTATAAAAAATGCTTTTAAAAGAGTCAGGAAGGGTTAGACTCTATCTTTAATGTCAGACAAAAGAAACTAGTATTCCCGTCAATAATCATACATATCTTTCTGGTTCTCAGTCCCGAATATTTGGGCCAATATGGACAGATGCCTTAAAAATTGAAAAGGAACCATTCTTAAGGAACCTGAAGAAGGCTTCACAGCTGAAACGTTGTGTTTTCTCTCTTCTTTTTTCAGCATGGAATAAACCCATTACTTGTTCCTTCGCAGACTACGCATGCTGACGCAGCTACCCACCAGACCTTAAAAATATGAATGATGGCTTAGACAGGTCGCTGTTAACAGCCCTCAACAATCAAGGCCTGTCCTAGATTTTATCCAGGTGTTCAAAATTCCTGAATATGAGTTGAAACATCAGTGACTAATTTAAACTAAAGAAAAGCAAACAAATATAAATATAACAAAGAAAAGATGTGGGGATTGAATGAAAATTTGGGAGGGCAGTTAAGAGACAGGAGACAAAAGGACTGCAGGCACATTAGATGCCACCTCACAGGCCTCCTTCAACAAATAGTGAGGATTGACTGTGGTGAAAGAAGCACACTGCTCTGAAGTAAATGCAAATCATAATCTTCTGGCTAATAAAACTGCCACTAGAGTTAAAAGAAAAAAATTGCTGGAGGTATCATTCATTTAAACAACAAAGACTTTTAAGAGAAGTCTTTACTCATTCCAGTGGAAGCTGACGTTTTCAAAAAGATTGTGTTTCATTTATGAAAATCAATCTGAAGATATCCAAGATAAATCCTGAAACATTTTAGAAACATATTAACATTCCTAATTATTATGCAACTCGAATCAACTATGTCAGTATGACATTATAAAAGACTGTAGTGTGCCTAAGGGAAGAATTAAACTTAAATTCCTCGTTATTTCTTAGATATGACATGCCAAAGTGTGGTCATACACTCTTAGGAAGTAGTGTGTGCTTATGACTCTGCTCATGCAAAGGTGACAAGTTATGTGCTTACGCCCTTGAGGGGCATGTGGATATTGTGCATTTAACTTTCATATACTGCATCTATGGAACTGGACACAAATATACATTAACTGGATAGTGTAGTTAGAAATGAGACTAGACTGGAAAAAAGAACAATAAGTCAACAACTGGTAAAACCCAAGATGTAACATTCATCTCTATCCAATATGAAGACTGTTGCTACTGTATATACGAAATAATTAAACAAATGAGCAGGGCCAGTGAAGTAATATTGGTTTTGGATTTTGGTAAACATTTAAACAAATTCACATTTTCAATAACAAATAAAACAACAAATACATACCAGAAAACAACCAATGGTAATTTCCATGCTGAAACTACTGTATGTTTGAATGCTTAGCATGTTTCACGTGTGAGACAGAGCAGATTAGCAGGAATATGAAGCACAGGAAAATAAAGGAAAGAGCTGGTGAGAATGGACACACAGGTGAGAAAGTGTAAAAACAAAGCTTCCAGTAGAAACAAATACATTTCTGCTGGTGCCTTGTAGTTTTTATCAAGGCAGAACTATTGACTAATTCCCTGTGATTCTACCTGCTGATTTCTCCAGTTGATTCTCCCCCAGTTGTTTTCTTCTCAGGTGAGCACCAAACACACTATTTGTAAAGCAGTTGACTAATTACTCTCTGAACGAGACGGCTGTTCCACATTAAACCAATCATTTGATTCAAACACCGACTCTCAGTGGATTCATTAGCCAACCTCGGTGGTTCAGAGGATATTATTTATCAATTAGTCAAGCCTACAGTATGGCGAGATAAATATGTGTGGTTGCACATATATGTGGAAATTGCTACAATGGGAAGGAATGGAAGATTCTACCTATCCCATTCACTTCCCTTGTTACATCTGTGACTCAAATGCCATATTGACCTGAGGCCGAAACACTAATTAACTCCCTCCTCCATATACAAAAACATTCAACATATTGAACCACATTCAGACAAAATAAAATTCTCAACAGTATAAGAAAGAATGAAAAGAGTTAGCACCTACAAATGGTGAAAGCAAATATGAAACAAAAAATTAAACGTCAACTAGATCTCAGTTCCCAATAACTGCCCCAACACAGAACTAACACCTCTCAATCAACCAAAAGTCAATTTCTCACCGACAGTACACAGATCCCCTGACAGAGAAAGAAAAGCAATCCCCCTAATTTCTTCTCCATCGAAGGCAATCAGGTACCTTCAGATCACATGAGTTCCTGGACTGAGTATTTCTATTGTGTCAAATTTGTTTCTTCAAAACACAAATACCTGGAGCCCATGGATTGAATAAGATGTAGGTATCTGTTTGTGGGTCCCTTCTCGTTCTTCGGATGCCATACGGGGTCATAACTGCAACATACAGTCTGAACTTCCCCACAATGCAATCTGGAGCTGGGGTGATGCCCAGAGTGACAATGCTGCCTTCACTCCCCAGCACTCTTGCTCCCCATTGTCCATCAGTTTGATCTTGGTTTGGGGAGACGGCGACATAGGTGCCTTTGTTTCCTTGTGGATAACGACCTAAGGCAAAGAAACACAGAGAAAAACATTTCGATTTTCAACTGCATAAGAAATTGGACAGACCCTGTTTTAAGTATTATTTATTGTCAATCATTGATCATCAAGGATTGTTTAACATTCTCCAATTCAAACATTTACTTCAGGGATTTTCAATTTGTTCATGAGTGAAATCCACAAATGTAGCCCTCCAAAGGACTAAAAGATCCCAGCAGTCCATATTTAATCTTGAATATCACAATATTTCACTAAATGTGGTCCATGATGGTACTATTGGCCCTTTTCGAAAATAAATCATTAACAAAAGCCTCAAGTCAATAACATCGAAAAAGTATAGTGGTTTTAAGAAAGCTGTCCCTCTCAAAAGCCACTGTTAATTGCCGAAGGGGCTTCTGTTCACCAGAGTGACACAGGTGTACCTAGTGTGTATAGAGCTATGCTTTCAGAAAAATATTATCTTTGGTGTCTTTTCTCCATCTGTCATTAGTGGAGGTTTCCTCAGCTGAACACTGTTAGCCTTCTTCATAAAGTATTCATCATAACCAGAACCTCAAAATTCTTACGTTTACTGAAAATAAATTGAAAGAAGTTAAAGACATTTGCATATATACTGTGTGACAAGTATACAATGTGTCCAGGAACTCTAATAAGTTTAAACTAGCAATGTTATACTCATAATGAGATGGTATTATGACTCCTCAGTACCATTAACCTTCTACAGTCAGTGAGTGTATTCTGTGAAGCATTTCCAACATCAGTACCTGGGCAAACGAGGGAGACACCTTGGGCCAATAAATTATAACAATGCCTATTGGGGAATCATTTAACGAGATTCTTAGTTTCTCTCACTAGTGGGCAGACTGGTAACTGGGTGCTAGTGTACAGATCCAGTAACATTCTTCACACTGTTACAAGGAAATTAAGAAAATTGAAATATTGTGAACACTAAAAAACTAAAACACTGAAACATTACTTAATACTACTACTACTACTACTTTCATGTTTTCTTTGTTGATGGGACATTCAAGGATGCATATGTGTATGTATACATACTTTGATTTACTGCTTGTTTCCCAGATGTCTTGATGGTATTTTGTATAAATTGTATTAATTGCTTTGGACAACATCAACATCATCTTGCTAATTGGGATCAGTAACTGTTTCTGCGCAGATACCTCTAGGTCTGAGAATGTTTCACAGTGAGAAATTACATATCAGATGTGCAAACTGTACTTTAGTAGAGTAAACATTTCATTTCCTGTGATAAAACCATTTGCTAACCTCATCATATAATGTAAAAGCTAAACCTCTTTTTCACCATTTGTTAGCACAACCATGGCTTTCATTAAGTTTATAATTGAAAAACATCATTCATAAGAAAGGTGGGAGAATGACAGAAGTTTGAGTGCACAAGCTTACGTACATCAGAGAACATTCACATAGATGTGACGTAATTAGACTATGATGGGAAACATTTTTCATTCTCTGTTGCAGTTTCTCAGATTACAGCGCTTAAGTGGCAGGTAATTTTACTTTCTCTCCTAGAGTGAACTTTCTGTTTATTGCATCATTATCAGCCATTTAGAAAGACTACTCAATCAGACTGTACACATCCTCACCAATAAAACTATCATGAATTCTGTTGTTGGGCCGCAGATTGACTTCAAATCGATTGCTCTTACAATCATCATTTGAATACATTCTAGGCTTGGTCTCATAGATTGTATTTTGAGACAGCATCTGGTTTTTGAACAGAAAAAAAAAAATCTGTCTGCAATTTATTTTGTCCTGTTTTTGTCTTTCACATAAGGGTCCATGCTGTTTTCATTTTTATATTTAAAGTGCCTGTGTGCTTAAGATGTTTTTAATGTAATTCAGATTTAAAGGCAAATTCAAACAGGTGAATCATTTTCGAGTGTTCTGGAAGTATGAGGCTATATCAGGAATCTTCTATATGCAAGCAGATATTAATAGACATTTTGCCTAATGAGGATGTTGAGATGGATTCTGCAGATTTCAATGAAGGATAAGATCAGAAATGAAGAAATCTGTAGACGATGTAGGGTGGTGGATGTGGTTGAGAAGATGCGAGAGGCGAGGTTACGGTGGTATGGACATATCATGAGGAGGGACGTTGAGGAAGTAACAAAGAGGGTAATGGAATTTGAGGTGGAAGGTAACAGAGGAAGAGGCAGGCCTAGAAAGAGATGGATAGATTGTGTGAGAAAAGATATGGAGGTATGTGAAGTGAGTGAGGAAGATGTGCTCGACAGAGACAAATGGAGAAGAGCAACCAAAGCAGCTGACCCCAGGACAGTCTGGGACTAAGGCTGTGAAAAAGAAGAAGAAGAAGAAGATTTTGCCTAATAGCATACTGTAATGAGCTTCAAATAAAATAGTTCTGTAATATACTAATTTTTCCTTAGTCACACCGAACCAGGACTATTTTAGCTACTGTACACAGACAGCTTGTCCATCTTGGGAATTTGATGACCCAGATTCAGTTTCTATAATACACTGCATCCTGACACCCACAGGATTTAGCTGTAATTAATTTCTCTGTCTGTATCTCAATATTCTGCTTACTATTGCCTGTGGCCTGTTTTCAAGGGAGGCACTTACTTGAAACATACAGTAATCAGTTCCCTAGGGCAGGTTGGGTTATCCCCTTCATGTGTATGTCAATTCCCAGAAGGAGCTGATCCTTCATCGCCCTTTTTCTTCGCTTTCCAGGTGAGATTACACAATTACAGTTGGCTTTTTGTAAACAGATTTACTCTCTCTTTTAAGTGGCGCACTTTGAATTAAGTTAAAAGATAAAGGGATTTTTCCTTCTTATGGGTGTCTGCCAGTAAGGGAATTTTGGATTTAGGTAGGCTTCACAAAGTGTTTCATTCTCTTTTCACCTTTTGCACTTAGTACATGTTTTCTTTGTTGATGGGACAATCATGGATACATATGTGTTTCTTCTCTCTTGGACTATTACATATAATATTTTAAACACAGAGACTACGAAAGAAAGACAGTACTGGAAACCTGAGGCTAGTCCTTCCTTGAGGGTGGTCATAACATATATTATGTACGTATGAGTCTTTGTTGTTTATCTTGTAGAGCCCAAACTCTTTCAGCCACACATAGCAGCCTGCCCAACTTTGGACCTGATGACTTCGGTTTGGCTACCCTTAATGGATGTTAAGGATAATAATGTAACGCAACGGGGGCTCAGGTGGGCGCCCTTGCCGCATCTGGTCGGCCCCATCCCGACTGAGTCTCGAACCCGGGACTCCCGCGTCTCTCTGCAGCGACCTAGCCCTAGATCTCTCTACAGCCCAGTAGCTTTGGTCCTGCTATCACAGGGAAGGGCGGTGACATCACCTGCTCTGGTACGCCGGCTCTTACACAGTGCCTGTCGGCCGTAAGCAATACACTCTCCCCCGCTTAAATCGCCGTCCCCGGCGAAGGGCTATCCCACCCCGCTCTGACACCAATGTAACGCAACAGGGGCTCAGGCGGGCGCCCTTGTCGCATCTGGTCAGCCCCATCCTGACTGAGGCTCGAACCCGGGACTCCCGCGTCTCTCTGCAGCGACCTAGCCCCGTGAGCTAAAGAGAGATCTCTCTACAGCCCAGTAGCTGTGGTCCTGCTATCACAGGGAAGGGCGGTGACATCACCTGCTCTGGTACGCCGGCTCTTACACAGTGCCTGTCGGCCGTAAGCGTTACAATAATATAGATTTCTCCCAGCATCAAAACCCCAAGTGCTTAGTGAGCTTCTAGCTCTTTCATGACCTTAATTCTTCGGGAACAATTTTGTTCAGGACAGCTAAACCTATATTAGAGTCAGTAAAGTATCTACTTGGTTTTGGAGCACAGTGCTGCTCCTACATCACAGAGGATAAAGACAGAATTACTGCATGTTCATGGTTGAACAGATGAAGGATACTAACAAGTTCTGACATCCTAAGCAGAGAGGTTAGCATTGCTCCTGATATTTATCCTATAACTGATATGCTGTAAACATTATGCTGACACACATGAGTTATAACACATGAGTTATAACACTGATGACAAGAAACTTGCATATCTGCAAGCTGCTGAATTTCTTAGGCCTTCTCTGTGTATCAGCTGTTCTTCAGGTTATCCATTGAACCTCTAGCTTTGAATGTTGGTGGCCAGTTTCCTCTGAATTTTGGGTCACTGTGCAATACATTTCTGTCAGCTCAGTACCGGTGTGACATTTAGCTCAACTATGGCATAATAAGTTGTCTATCTTCTCTTCCCAAGTCATCCTTTCTGTTGCTCCAAGTTTACCCTGGACTTAACAAATGATTGTAATCAGTATTTGTGGAGGTCAATGCTGTGATTAATCACAACAATAACAATGTAATGTCTCAATTTTTCATTTAGCAAATAAACAGAAATTAGTTTATGTTTGCATCTTTAAATGCACGTTTAAATTGATTTCTTGTAGTCTTGCTGTGCATTTTAAATGGGTTTATCAAGTTTCTGAAGGAATTGCATTAATTATCTTGCACTGGGTGTTCAAATGCTTGTTGTAAGAAAGACAAACTTTTTTGCAGTTAAATGTAAGTTTCATTAGATGTTAAGAGAGGGAGGCTATGTGAATATTATTTTTAAAAACAGTGTGCTGTTGTTGTGCAATAAATTAAGAAAATATTTGTTTCAATGCTAGAACAGATCTAAGACTGAAATGAGAAACAAATGGCTGAGGTGGTATTGTTCTTGACTGAGGTTCTAAAGCTGGCTATCTCCTTGTTGTTGAGAAGGACAGAAGATGCAAAACTTGTCAAGTAAATCAACAGATAAGATGCATGACATGTCTTCATGTCTCCTTGGTAATTGTGGGGTGGCAGGGGCATTTACATAATAATAACTGATTACTGCAAAGAAAACTTGAGAAAGGTGTAAATTGATCATTCTAATTTCGGGACAGAAATGTGGCAGTCCTTAAAGGCAGAATAAAATGAAATGTGCCAACTACTGTATGTCCCATATCATCATTCCAAAATTGCAAAATGATACAGTGAAGTGCATTGATTTGTTTGGTATATTTAATTCCAAAATTATAATATGTTCTGTACCTGCACATTCTGTTGAAACAGATAAGACAAATAAAGATGTGATTAGCCCCTAGATAAGATTAGATCTTAAATTAGATCTTAAGTAAGATCTTTAATAGTTTTGGCAATCAGCTTTAGAATAAAATTGGTCTCCCTTCTATTAATAAGACAAATCAAGCAACCAAACTGAAAGCCACATTTTAAGAGATGGCCTCTGCTTTGGAATAATTCCACCTATTCAAGTTTTGAATTCTGCAAATTCAGCACATTGTTATTTATTGCTCACTGTACATTCCTGTAGCTTCCAGCACAGGGCTATATATTCAGACCAAGACAATGCCATTCCAGGGAACAGGAAAAAAGACTTGTGTTTGAGAAGCATAGGGAATCTCATTCCTTAAATTGAAAGTGATTTGGAAGAGCCTAGAATTTCAAATACCAACATATCATCAATGAGATGTTCATTACATTCTTAATCGAAAAGCTGAACCTCACAGCACTTTAAGTGATATGGTTTATCAGCTCACGATGTAATTTCCTGTCAGGTGCAACACTTCAACATCAGGCGGTGTACCAACATGTCTGATATATCATAGAACAATACAGATTAAACTGATGGATGACTACATCAGCAGCATACAACTATGGACTCCAAAGCCAATTGACACCCTCAGGAATCGAGTTATTTTTATCTTTAGCTGCTCATTTAATATATTCGATTATTTTTATAATGGAGGGTGAATGTTTAAACGATATCTATGAAAGTCTTCTAAATGTTCCAAAATAGAGCAGAGTCAATAATGTAATGATCTTTTAGGAAAGATTTTGTTTTGGGCACAGAGAGATAACTTTGAGAGTTGTGATAGAGTGACAATGATATCCCATTACTTATATGAATTTATTGCTGTAACAGTTTAGGTACACTTCCAGAATAAATAGACGTGAATCTTGAATTACTTGAATTACAAATTCTCTGACCTCTCTTATTCTAAGAATAAATAATGAAAGGGAACAGAACAAAAAGGAATGATAGAATTAAGCAGTGCATTGTGATCTGAAAAAGATTATTTCATTGTAGTACATCTTAACACTTTTAGGAAATATTTTACAGCTTCCTTTGCCTAGTGAATTCTGTAGAAAACATTCTGAATCGGCATATGGATATATGGACTGGAATAAAAGGTTAAACTCAAGGTTTTCTTGTGTCTTCTTTCTACTTTTCAGCACGAAATTAACCTCTACTTGTTTTTTTTATTTGACCAGATAGTGATCTGCCAAGTTTACAGAGAATGAATGGAGTGTATGCTTTATACATACAATACATATACTGTACCTAACATATCCTTACAGGGTCTACAAGGTTTTGCTGTAGGTTATTTCGATGGAACTCGTGTTTGGTTTAATATAGTTCTTTTGCTTGTTAACAGCTTGGAAGACTGAAAGTTTTTTGATCAAGGTGTTAAGTACCACCCCTAATGTTTGGCACTCGTTATTAATACAAGGCTCACACATTCTGCATGTTACCTCTTGTTACAATGTTGCCTCCTCTTAATTACACCACTTCCTTTATACTGTAGCAGCTTGTGGAACTCCCTTACAATATAACAGTGTCAATCTATGGTATAGTTAGGAAGTCGACAAACCAAGCACATAACACAAGGGACCTTAAAATGGTTAAACATCAAATCTCCAGGAGCCTCCATACCAAATTACAAGTCTATTCAAGTAGTGATCTTAGTGATCAGTAAACATGCGTTATGTACATTATAATAGTTTAAACAGCACTTTAAGAGTACAATTCAGTGATCTCCAAACTATCCTATGCAGGCTGTTTTTGACTGTGAAATGGTACATTCTGAATTAATCTAAGAATCCTATCAATTTGTACCTTTAAAGATTCCAATAAAATCAGCTCCAACAACACACTGCTGCTCCGGTAAAGTATTAATGACTCTGACAACTCTTTGTGTAAACAATATGTGAAAGAACCTTTTAAATGAGGCCTAACAAGTAAAATGTTAACATTGATTTGATTCAAATACTCACATTCCTTTTGAAAACATTAACTCAAGGAACTACCTCAAAATGAAGAACAATGCTGATTCACTGGGGTCTTCTAGGAAATGTATATAGGGCATCTGTGGATCAATTAGCTAAGCAGCTGTATCTGCTTCTCTTGCCTGTGATTTTTATTGTGTTCTCATGTTCAAAGTTTACTTAGGGAGATGATTCCATCCTTACAATATATGCAATTGACATACAGTATCTGTTTTACATTACAAAATGGAGGAAAATGTGACAATTGTTAAATGAATTATTCTCTTCAGCGTGTATAGGAAAACAATTGGAAGCTTGATTTAATTCCAACATACAGCCTGATTAGTGATCCCACCCTATTTATTGTAATTCTGTGTGTTCTAATGGAAGTAATGTTCAATTTGTGGGAGCTGATCTGGGTCTGGTTTAATGGGCTTTCCATAAACCTGAGATACACAAAGGGGCATTTGAGAAACTCAGGATTATGCTTTTATGTTATAATCTTGTGCATTGATCTGTAAATGCATACAACATCCAGTGACAATTCTGGTGACTCTCCTTTTACTATCATTCTGTTGGCAGTAGATAGTCTATATCTCATTACATTGTATTATTAAAGGGTATGTATGTTACACTCTAACAATGTTGAATCGGTTGTATAATATTGCATAATCATTAGATAAAAATGGAATTTAACTCTCCTTCTTCGTGGTCAGGGAGATTATTTATTGACTACTCATTAAAACTGAGTAGGGTCTTTCCTACTGTCTCCAGTTTATCCTAATATTTTTATCTTTGGCCTATTACTGAAACAAGGTGAGTCAACTAGCTGCCACAATTCAGCAATCGGGTGTTTTGTTACAGTAGATAGAATCAAAAAAAGAAAACTCACCAATAAGAAACTCAACCCAAAACTTATCCTTTGCAGGGTTGTATTCGCGGTTGAATGTTATCTTGATCTGGAACTGCTGGCCTCGCCGCACAATCAGGTTGTCATTATTATACAAGTGTGTCCGGTGTTCTTTTTTGTTGATCTCATCTCTTGTTTTCAGCATGTTCATGTCCCACACATCCAGGAAATCTGCCAAGGAAATGAAGGGAAATCTGTACTACCACTACTTTGTAAATACAGAAAATGCCTTGAGAATACCCTGTCTTTAGGAAAAAACATTAGCTTGCCATTCACAAAGTTAAGCTTCACTTATTGTTGATTCAACACAACATTTTAGATAAATAATAAAGATTAAAATCATTGTACATGCACATGTGGTTTAAATCTGTGCATTTTAGTTCAGATTCATAGTAGTTCAATCGATGAGCATTGACACAGAATGACTTCTGAAAGAAGCAATTAAAAGGTAATTTAGGATAGGTAAGAAATCATTTGCACTCCCCTGAGAAAAGATCAGATCATGAGAATGGATTGTTTGCTGGTGTCTTCCTAAGCTAAAGAGATGCTGGTAGTGTAACAGTTAAACTATTTACAGCTTTGAAGTCTGAGTTTTGAAGGAAGCAGAAATATAAACTCTTTTCACACATAAGAAAGAGATACAAATGTCATTATGTTTCTCTCCTTAGCTATATTACTGCCCAGTATTCATGGGCATTATCTTCAAAGCTATTGATATTTCTTATGAACCATTGAGCATATATTGAAATTCTGCTGACATTGGTTTGAAAAGATTTTAACACATTTTGTAATCACATGTCAGTATTGCCATCTGCTGGGAATATAAGGTAATACATGATAGAATTTTTAAATAGGTGAAACAGAGTATATACTATATACAGGGATTCACTTTCAGGGTTGCAATGTTACTTTTACTGAAAGTAACTGAAAATAAGTAAAATAAAACTTGTGATTGATCTATAGTTTCAATATTTTCAATATTTTTCAATACGTACTGTCGATATTAAGTCTTAAATGGATGTTGGTCGAACTGGCAAATAGCTACTGTAGGTCAATAGTGAAGTACCCAAAGACTCAAAGACTGAATTAAAATTTGGAACAAATTCAGAGTCAGAAAGAGTTCCATTGGTAAGAGCTAGACATAGTACAGAAAAAAATGCATTCTTATTACAATTTACAGCTTACCTTATAGGTAGGACTGTGCATTTCATTATTAAATTGAATACAAGCAAAGTTCTACAAATAAACAATAATGCCATACATCATGTAAGATATATCATGTAACATATTACTAGAATTGGCAAAAACATACTAAAGTACCTCCAACTGACACATTAATACCATAATAACTCCCAGTGTCAATGGATCAATTTTCCAGATTCATTCTCATCTTTCTTCCTTGCTCTTTCTGTATATTTAAGGCATTTGGCTCAAATATCACATAGAGATGCCAAAAGCAAAAGTGACCTGGAACCAACAAATTTGATTATACTGTTCTGAACTTAGTGTTGCCATCCAAGGCTATCAGCTACTGACACATTCAATTTTTGCTTGGGAGAGTCCTAATGAAATTGGCAGTGTGGAGACTTACATAAGAGCCAAAACATTAAAAACTTTGTCACAGCATTTTAGTTTTAAAATCCCAGTTTTTCTTAAGGGTGCAGTGCATTATTTAAGCCACAGCAAAGATAACAAAAGTCAAAGTTAAAGTTTCGCAGATTGGTCATGATAAACCAACATCATGAGGCAGCTCAAATGACAAGGGTTCACTGTAGAACAAAGTGCATCCTTCCCTTCTTGTAAGATATATTAAAAAACAACAAAATACAGTAATTGCCTGAAGTATAACTTTTAGAAATAGATTTGCAGACAAGCAAGATTTGACACAATGGCCAGAACTACAGTATATGCTTGGTATTTGTTTCTCAAATACATGTAAGATTTTTTGTGTAGCTGTGTTCTTTAACTTTAGTATAATCAATGTCAATATACAGTATATTGTTTTTGTATTTCCACATTTTAACAGTACCATATGATTTTCATACTCAAAGAACTAAGAACATGTCTTCTGCATCACTCTAAATTAGAAACTGAATGAACAAAGTATAAAGCAGTACTAAAATATTGAAAAGTTTATGAAATTATATAAATCTTATCTTGTTTTTAATGTGCGATCAAGCTCATCCGTTTAGACTTCAGTTTCAAAATGATAAACCAGTGTACCAAAAAAAGAAAAGCTATTCCAAATACACATTTTGCTTATATTTAAAAAGTGTTCATTTTGTTGTAAAATATAGTAAATGTGGATTTAACTAGCAAAAATACTCTTAAAAGGCCACAAAAATCCCAATTTAAGAAACCTCTTTAAAGTGCCAAATGTGTTAGTGAACCCCCTAACATAATTAGGAGGATGTTATTGAACCCACTAAAATAATTATGGGAATTTCAATTTCTTAATATATTTTCCTTGAATAATCAAAATGGGCTCTTTTAAATGACCAAAAGTGCATATATTTTGCTGCATTTTGTATGACAGGTAATACATGAGCTTTGACCTCATCTTACTGGTTAGTAGAAACACATCATTTCACGATTAAAAGAGAATTCAGAAGATCTCGGAAAAAGAGTTTTTGATGATCATCTGTCTAGATGTAGTTACAAAACCATTTCTAAAGATACCATCCATCTACTTTTTAGTGATTTTTCATCTTCAGACCGCGATAAATGAAAAATATTGAAGAGGAAGTCAGCCACAGAGTACCTGGAAACATATTGTCTGGATGGACAAGTCAAAAGCTGAACTGGCCATTTGATAAATGTTTTACGAGGCAAAAACCAAACACTGCCTTCCAACGGAAGAACCTTTGCCCCGCCATCAATCATAATGGGAAGAGTATCATGGCTGCTTTGCTGTCTCAGCAAATGGACAAATTGCCATCATTGACAAAACCATGAATTTGGTGTTGGATCAGCACGTCAGGCCATCCATTTGTCAGCTGAAGCTGAGGCAAAAGTGGGTCATGCAGCAAGACAATGATATTAAACACACAACCAAATTTACAACAGAACAGCTGAAGAAATTGTCCATTTTGAATGGGTGAGACAAAGTCCAAACCTAAACCCGTTTTGGATGTCATGGCAGGACCTGTTCAAGCAAGAAAATCCTCAAACCTCACTGATCTGAAGAAGTTGTGCAAGGAAGAATGGACCAAATGTCATAAAAGGTGATTCAAGAGACTAATAAACAGTTACAGGAAACATCTAGTTGAAGTCATTGCTGCACAAGGAGTTGCCACATATTTATTCATACAAGGATATTTATGTTGGATTATTTCCTAGGCAGATCCAGATAATGTAATCTAATGTCTTTCCATTATACGTTTACTCAGGTTATCTTCACCTTTTTATTAAGATTTTAATGAAAATCAAAATATGTTCAGTCTAAAATATTCAAGAATACAAACCAGCCTGGGGGGTGGGGGGGGTGGGGTGTCACTGTTTTTTTCTCATCACTGTATAACATAGTGCTTTACTGTAAATAAAAATCAATTTGACAAAAGAAAAATACTATAAATCACGACTTACCTCTGAGATTAGGCCGTCCCCGAGGATGAAGCCCAAAAGGTTCAAACTCTGGGATGTCTTCGCCTTCAGCATTGGAGCTCACAGAAGGAATGTTGCTGCGTCCCGTGTGAGTGGCTTGAGAGTGCTGGGGTCTAGTCTCAGGAGTAGACATGGCTCTTACTGGCTTGTAGAACTGCACACAATGTCTAGAAAGCAAACAATAAATAAATCATGAAATCAGGACTTTAAGATAAAGAACTTTAATGTCATTAAGATAAAAGCATAAAAATATGAATTTCCTTTTTGCATTTCATACGGTTCCATATGGTTGAAATGAGAAGATACCATTTTAAGACTGGTACTCTGAGCAACGTTTTTGTTTATCACCACTCATTGGGAACAAAATGAAAAAGGCACAACAGCACCTGCACTTTCTGTGGTGCTTAAAGAAATGCTGTATGGGGAAGCAGCTACTCAGGAACTTTTACATAAGCACCATAGAAAGTGTCCTCACTTGTGGTATCACTGTGTGGTACAGCAAAACGCACAGACGCAAAGGATTGTGGCAACATCACAGTGGATTTTAGGGCGTCATTTACAATCAATCAGTGAGATCCACACCATCCAATGTCGCAATAAAGCACAATCCATCATTCAAGATCTCAACCATCCCGGCCACAGACTGTTCTCCCCCCTGCACTCTGGCAAGCGGTACTGCACTATTAAAGCACGGACCACTAGAATTAAGAACAGCCTCTACCATACCGCAGTACACACATCCTCAACAGCTAACTGCAATGCCTCAGACTCAAGGCACGTTTGCACTTTGCACTTTTTGCATGGTCTATTATGTTTGTTTTTTCTTTCACTACTACATATGAACTGTTCTCCACAACATATTTATTGCTCTGGTTGTACTATTTATTATGTTGCAGTGTACTGCCTACATTGCATGGGGCTCTCTGTTGTACTGTGTCGTCAGCAGTGTGGCAGTACAGTGGCAGCTTCTTCACATCATCATGATACGCGTAAGGTAACATGGAAGTCTGGTCCATGTAAACTATAAAAATGGTCCATGATTTTGGTCCATATTTCAGTCTTCTATCGGTTCTATCCCAAGGTTGCCAACAACCTCGTCAATGCAGCAGCTCCTAAATCATGATGATGGAGATTCAGACTGCCTAGTCCTTCTGGCCTTGCCTATGCTTCTCCAACCTAGGGGATTAAGTCAAATTCTGGTAATGCTGATGTTTCTGAACCATCCTGAATCAATCACCATCCATCCATTTTCTAACCGCTATATCCGACAAAGGGGCGTGGGGGAGCCAGAGCCTATCCCAACATGCAATGGATTCAAGGGGGGAAACACCCTAGATGGGTCCATCGCAAATATCACCATTGTATTGCTATTTATAATTGAGTTCAACTGTTTTTTTCCATATAAAGCTTTCCTCCTCTCTACATTTTAAGTTTCCTGCATCTAACCTGTCATCTTGTGTGTTATTGTGATATGCTGAAACCTTAAGTACTGGTCTGGGCTCAGTCAGTGATGCCTGCCTTATCTAGAAACCTTCAATTGCCATGTTCATTGACAAATAATTTGCAGCTTTTCTGATGAAAGCAGAGTTTGTCAGTACAGTTGATTAAAGGGGAAGTGCAATCCCAATTTCTCGGACAGGTTATTAAATCTCGGTAACAAAATAGATTCATTGACGTTATAGAAACATTTGATAAACTTTGAACTTTGTGAAAGTACTGTAAGTCACCCTGCCAAAAACTCCTGGTCTCGCCTCGGGCGAGAGCAAGAGTTCCTATGAATTTTGACGTGATGCGACCCTTCCTGTTCGCTGGTCGCTGTAATGACTAATGTAACGTGATGTACGGGCGAATAAGTACAGGTTGTGCAGCAGACCTAACACCTCAGAAATGTACCAACATGATCTGCATGTAGTTGAGGGATCAAACATATATTTACCTTATTACACTAGTTTGCTTTTACTATGTATATAATTTACTAACTATCCTGCTAGAATAATGGAAAATTACAAACTGCAACTTAAGTGTGAGCTGGCTACTTGCCTGAGACATGAAGGGCAGAGCCAGCTCCGGGCAGCCTGACCAGAACTGAGAGTGCCTGATATCTGCTTAAGCCACAATTTACAAAATCTAGAAGTACATAATATCTGCTTAAACAATGATTAAAGGAACCCAAGGAGGTTCTTACATTTCTTATAGTTTATCACATACCAAGGCTAGCAGCCTTGGCTTTACACCATACTGTATATGGCATGGAATTGTACTGAAACTGTTCGGGTTTTCTGTTTGGGATTTTGTATAAAAAGCATTCTTTTGTATCAATGAGTTGAGTCAATGCTTCATCGGCTTTGATCCCCGTATGCATACGTAATAAAAGAAATCCCTGCTTCATACACACCTGGATCGTATTTTTATAGCCAAAAATAATGGTGGTGTGGATTTAGATGTGTCATGAATTCACATCCTGATAATGGTAAAATACCCAAACTCATTCTAGAAAGGAGTAATCATGATAACTAATGTTACTGTTGTCCACAAGCATGGTTTAAACTATAAAAACTTTAATAAAAATGATAATTTGTGTTAATATTTACTTCACCTTTTTAAAGAAAAAATGTAGCCATTTCTAAAATATTCTTCATTACCGGCTAGAGATACTTAAAAGAATGGAATGCTAAAAATGATGTTAAACTTAATTACTACAACTGAAAAGCTGCAGGACTCTGACATCTGAAGACAACTAATACTTTATAACTAAAATCTTCAAAGGAAATACAGCAATAGATATCATTACAGATGCTAAGTCATATAAAAGCATGAGAACATAAGAATAGCTGCAAATGAGAGCAGATTATATAGCTCATCACATTTAGCTTAGGATGTAAATTACATTTCTGACTGCCACAATCTTTATATGCAGTGGTAGTTTGAAAAGTCTATCATTTTAGAGCACAATCTTATTTTTAACCATCAAATTTGAAATCATCAAGTGAAGTTTACAACAGAAGTTCAGTATAAAGGAAAGATCTTTGTCGCCTTCTTATATGAGTCTCGCAGCCAGCTCTTCCCTCTTCTATTTCACTTGCATTCCCTCCCACCTCCCCATCTACAACCATTCAGTAGCTCCCTAGCTCGTTCCTCGCAATAATGAGGGGGTATCGGGAAGCCTTATACTCACAGCTGGGCTGCCAATCCTTCTGTTAGACGAGTCACACCAAACACTCCATGCACATTAGTCACTCTGTTATATTCATTAGGATCTAACCAAATAATTTAAAAGTCTGAAGCCTCCATCAACAATGCTAAAGACATCCAGGAAAAAATGAGGTCCTGTGAGATGCCCACCTACATTCTCCATTTGACACAGGGCAAGCTCCACGGCACCTGATAGGAGGAGCTCGGTGGCTCTCATTGGACAGTGCAGGCTTGGAGGTTCCCAGCAAGTTGCCCAGGGGTGTGTAGTGAACAATCTTTAGTTAACAAATCCATCCATCCATTTCCTAACTGTTTCATCCAATTCATGGTAGCAGGGGAGACAGAGCCTGTCTCAACAAGCAACGGGCACAAGGTGGGGTACACCCTGGATGGGACACCAGTCCATTACAGGACACACGCAGACATACACACCAGGGTCAATTGTCGATTGTCCTGAAAGCCAATTAACTTACCAGTATGTCTCTGGACGGTGGGAGGAAACCAGAAGACCTGGAGGAAACCCACACCAACATGGCGCAGATAGCACCCCAGGTTTGGATTCAAACCCAGGGCCCCCGAACTCCAAGACAGCAATGCTAAGCACTGCACCTAATTAATAAATCAATTATACAAGTGATGCCATCCTAAGAACTACATTATGAACCATTTTATGAGTGTGAGCTTCACTCCAAAATTGTTTTAAATATCAACATTTTTGCTGGGGCCTACACTGTCAGGGTGCTTTTCCAGGAGTAAAATTTATTGTGAAAGGGTATCTTTGTTTCCTTGGAAAGGTAAGCTGTGAACATTTTGAAGAACCATCATATTTACTATATACCTCTCCATTGCACTCAAGGTGTGACTTGTGCAAACAAAATTAAAGGGTTAGATGTGGATGAGCACATTTTTATATAAAAGTGATTTCGATTTAGATTTTTTTTTGGTATTCCTTTTGAAACTTTGACTATTCTGAGACATATGTAAGGACTCATATGTTTTTTATTTCTTACCAGCAACAATTCAGTGTATTGTATAATCATTATTTCAAGAAGTGTTGTGTCACAGTGATTTATTAATTGCAATTAAAACAGTGCAATACGACAGAGTAAGCAGATATTCTAATGGAAATGTCCCTTCTGTTAATTTTGTGAATCTCTTTGTTTTTTTTTTTGAACCACACAAAAACTATTGAATGTATTTTCTTGATGTAGCCCTTGGGAAGCAAGCAGCCGATAAGGCATTTTCTTTTTTATTTATTCCTGCAAAGCATTGGCTTCATCTGAATGCTATTTTCCATTTAAGGCACACGAACCAGATGCAGCCTCTGCAACAGACAACTCTCCTGCAGTGAAAGGAGAAAGGGATCAATTTTCAGAACATGAACTGCAGCAACAGCTGGAAATTGTGAAGAAAGCTGGCAAGTCCGAAAAGGCTTTTATTTTCTGTATCTTAGTAGCACATACACACATACATTCTCCACTGGTAGTTAGGCACTTCTGACACTCGGACGGGGCCTGTTTTAGTATATTCTATGAAAAATAAAATTCTCAAGTCACTTGAATTCTTATTAATATTTTGGTACAGTTAATACCCCATCAAATAAACACGCCCTCTTTATATGTGTGCTGTATACCTTTGATGTAGATTCTTATGTAGTTATAAAATAGAATTACAGTTTATAGTTAAATTTTAAGATGATAGAAAAATAAGGGCAATGGCAAGCATGGGAGTAAATCCAAGAGAATTAGAATGAGACTTGGATGGAGTTGGCAGACACGTGGTAAATTAAATTGAATGCTTCTCTGTGCAAACAGGCCCACACTGGTTGCAGGAACATATAGCCTACTGTACATATCACAAGGAAATTGACAGAGGAAGCTATACACAAAAAGGACATAGGTGTTAATGTAGATTCTTGTAAAAGGATATCTAGTAAAAGGCATGGAATTTAAATCCATGCTATGGAATCTTACAATGTACTAGCAAAACATGAGTTGCAAAACTATACACCATACCACAAAAAGAATGATATATCTTTAGGAGAGTTACAAGAATTATTGGTGTTCTCAGGGACTTTTCACATTTAGACATTTTAAGGGATTTTAATCTTTTAGAGATTTATTGTCTGGAACAAAGGACACTGAGAGATTTGATTCAAGCAGGCTGTTAAGTGTATATACTGTATATATATATATGTCATTAATCCAGGGGACTATTTTACACTCAGTGGTGAAACAGGGATACTTGATCACAATTGGAATAAAAGGAACTTAAAAGGAAATTGAACAGTATTCTTTGGCTTGGCAAAGCAGTTTGGCTCTGAATCTTAAGTCAATGAATTGTGGATGTCATTTGAAATTCATTAACACCCTGTGCCTGCTTTATGTTAATATTCATCCAGAATCATTTCAAGTCCGGACAGAAGTAAAAAAAAGAGTATATCATTGCCCTAAATCTCTTTTCAAATATGTTACTACCATTTGATTACAGAATAGTTCTGTACTGGACCTGAGCTGACTCACTGGATAGAAAGCAATTTTATTTTTTGTCTGATAACTCTAGTAAAACAATTCTAATGCTGCAGTGTGTGCCTTGACAGAAATGGATCTCCAGACAATGACTCATCATATTTACAGAAGGATATGAGAAGGTGATTCTTTCACTTAATATTCAGAATATAAAAATTCTCCTTCAGGAAACTCTAAATGCAGAACCATCAATTTAGTTTCATAAATACAGGGATACAGGGTGTATCCTGTATTGTGCCCATTGCTTGCCAGGATAGGCCCTGGGTCCCCCACAACCCTGAATTGGATAAAACAGAGAGTAAATGGATGGAGGAATGGAAGTGCAAAAAAATTTGGAATTAATTCAAACTAAATTTTATCACCAAGAGGAAGATTATTTTAATTTATTAAAACATTCTTCAAGAGGTGGGGAGCCGGCATTGTTGAAATATAATTATGTTTCTTGGAAAACTCTGTGACACAGTCCTTCAATAAACCTGAAGTTAATGAACTATAATGATCATAATAAGTATGCAAATAGTATACTGTCTAAGGAGTTGCGTGAGACAAAAACACCAAAAATAATTATGCTGCTAAACATATTTGCATTCATAAAATGCAGAGCTAGAATTCCTCTTCTTGCATTCTTCTGGTTAGCCCTAGGGTAACTAACATACATTTCATTTTAAGTCTTCTATAGTGCTACAATAAATGTTTACCTGTATTTATATGTTATACATACTTGTTACAATACGTATCTTACAACTAAATTGTAACAAGCTCTTCTTTGCATAATTTCTTACTAGACATATCAAATCGAAAGTAGTATTCTCAATATATTCTATATTTGTATATTTCTTCAAGAGAAATGAGACTTGTTGCAAAGAGGTATACTTTATGTGCAGTTATATAAGATTTTAAATTAATGGAATGTTCACATAATAAAAAGTTTTTACAACAATGACACACATCAATACAAAATGTACCAGAGGGCATAAAAAGAAATTGGTGGGAAGTGAACTTAAAACTGAGAAAAAGGAGACACTATTTTACACAAAGGGTTTTGGGACTCTGGAAGAAGCTACTCAGCAATGCTGAAAAGTTGACACCGTGGCTTTTTTCAAGAAAAGATCAAGATGAGATCCTGGAGTCACTGACCATCTAAAAACCAAGTGAACTAATAATAACATCACTTTATTAACCCTTTACAATTTCTTGCATTAGGAATGATCTTTTCGCATACCCCAGCTTGCTCTCCATGAGACACACAGACAGGGAGAGAGCCTGGGGTCAGAGTGCAGGGTCTGCCATTGTACGGCACCCCTGGAGCAGTTGGGGTAAAGGGCCTTGCTCAGGGGCCCAACAGAGTAGGATTTGCCGGCTGTGGGATTTGAACCAGCAACCTTCTAGCCACAGGCGCAGATCCTTAGCCACAGAGCTACCACTCCGCCCCTGTACTGTATCTGAGCTTAAAAGCCTCCTCCTGTTTGCAAACTTACAATCTTAAACTCTTTGTTCATTTCTGTCCTTTTGACTGTATTTTATGAGGAATCTCTCATTTTACATTGTGATTTAAGAGATTCTAAAATTCAGAACTTAAACATACAACAATGCATTTAGCATATCTGTAGTTTCAAGTAGCATATCAGAGTTTCCTGAATCTCTTTTAACTCTTTTACTGTTGTTTCTAAGTTGTAAACTAAAGGCTAAAACAGATTTTTTTTACTGTTCTTTAAGTACTTGTAGAATTTGTTTCAAGTAACCAATATCCTGAGCTGCATAAAATGTATATGATTATTTTAGTTTTTGCATCATAGTATTTTTCACATCACATTATTTTTCCTGGAATCATATTACTTGCACCAAAAACATAATGGTAAACAGTGCATTTATATTTCTGCAAAAACCTCAGATTTTTTTTTACTTCCCTAGATTGATAAAACCATTCAGTCAGACAGAAGACTAAATAAACCTGCACAGCTTTGTCAGTTTTTCAAAGCTGTCTCAACTTGTAATTGAGGTGAGCTGGAAAACAGTTTTTGAAGAAATATCAAAAGCCATCATTAAAGATTTCTCAAGTAAAGGTTTTGTTAAAACATAGTGAGCAGAGGCAGCTGAGAACACAAGTGTCTTAAAACTTGTTATGAAAATAAATATTTGGCAAAGTTCAAAACAGAAGGGAAGGTTTACTCTACCTATCCAGGAGAACACCGCCCTTTTCCTCTGAGCTGCTGAGGAGGCTGAACAACTCAGTGTATGTGAAGGTAAAATCAGCTTCCACTTATATACTGAGGGAGACTCATGGGCAGGGGAAGAGTTTCCACAGCCTGCACACATCACCAACTGAAAGGAGAGGGGGAAGGGGAAGACAGGGTCAGGAAACATTTATTAGTGTTGTGAAGAATGTGCCTCTTCTGTGATTGACTGCTTTTAAAATTTACAGCAGTTGAGGGGGTGTTTTCAGAGTAACATGGTAGTTATTATGTAAAATATTAAATTGGAGGTCTACTTCACTGGATTGCTAATAAGATTCTGCTGCTTATTTAAGACTTACAGCTCTGCTTTGTTGCCTGTGTATAACAAGACACTTTTACAAGAAATGTACAGATGTTACACCAGGCAGTCACAGCCTGCCAAACCCAGAAAGCACTCTATTGGGCTTAGTTTCTGCTAGGTTTGTTTATGTAGCTATAAAAACCGGTTACCACAAAGGCTATGGTAAATACCTCAGAGGAGGGATACACTAACAGTCCCACACTGACATCACTTTTATCTGGATAAATTTTGAAAACTGTGTACTTCATTTTATTTTATTGGTTATTTGTGTAAATTCTATAAACCATGAGGAGTATAAGAAAAAGTAGTCACTTCAGTAGTACCTCCTCAAACTGGAAACTGGAAATTCCAATCAACAAGCCCCAAAATACAGCTAACATTTTTCTTTTTCATTTCGTCTATATGCCCTTTTCAAGTGAAGATGTTTTCAAGAACACATTTGTCTGTATTAAAAATCTGTATTGCAAGAACATTTTAGAAGAGCACGTCACATTTCATCATTTACATTTTAATAGTTCTCTCATCTGGTATAAAGATTTTAAACATGATATCTAAGTAAAGGCTGAACAAATGCAAACTAATCAAAAACGTTAATTGTCCCATTTGTCACTACACTGGATTAGACTTGTAGCTATGAAGAAGTACTGTACAATTATAGTATTGCTCAGTGGGATGCAATCAAAAGCTTTAACAAGGATCATTCTTACACTATTTGCTTCACAGCTGCATTAATCTCAACTAAGTAAATTTATTAATTTGGGAAACCAATTTGGCTTTTCTAGAACATGCTCAATGCTTACTCTTTGATACTGTACTGGAAATCGACCATAATGACAAACGTAATTAAAGTTGCTGCTTAAACCGGGCTGGATTCCTAATACAGTACGTATGTTAACAGCAGTTGACTCAGTAGAGCATCAGCTATCAGACTTTATTGCAAGAAAGTTTGTAAATGAGAGGAGGCCATTTGACTCACCTACGTTGTTTGGTTGTGAATAACTAATTGATCTGATGATCAAGATGAATGATCTAGGACTCAACAACATGGCTAGTAGTTTGTCCCAGATTCCCACAACAATTTATATAAATAAATGCTTTCTGTTCTCAAGCTTGCACAGTTTCACAATTTCCATTTGAATGCTTTGTTTCACTGTTGTGTGTCACTGAATTGTGTTTCACTGTTCTTTCTAAAGAAGTTCAATGGGAGGGAGGACTCTGTCTGCACTTTGAAGTTTTTAAATACTTGAATCATATCAATTTTCTGTAGTCTTCTCTATTCAGTTTAGTTTTTTTATCTAGAACAGGACAGTCCTTCGCCTGGAAATGTATCAGGTCATTTGTTTCTTATGAGATTCCAGAGAAGCAATATCTTTTTTGTGGTGACCAAAATACCACACTATATTCCAAATGAGGACTTGCTAGTATATTGTTGAATTTCACATGACCTTCCTAGATTTGTACACTTCAACTATGTATTGTAATACATATTGGAGATGTTGAGAAAATTCATTAAATAAAATTAGAGTTAGAAATTCAGTCCTACCACCAGCTTTCCTTGCACGTTGTCAGGAATAATTTAGGAATTATTCTTCCTATGCAAAATAATGCACCAAGATAGAATAGATACAACCTCCTTTTGCCTGGTGGAAACCAGATATGTTAATTATTCCCACAATCACACAATCCCAGCCCCCTTTCCTACAATGTAAAATGCATCTCTTCAGCACACATGCCCGAAAGGTCTCTTTCCAGCAGCGAGAAATGAATGGGAAAGCTCAAAACTTTGCAAAAAAAAGGCCTACTCACATTGATGCTGTTCTGCTTTCTGGGCAAGAGAAAAGAGTAAAACAGAACCTTCTCTTAATAAACACAGAATATCTGTCTGCCTGGTCCCTCATCTTTAGGAGATTTTCACAGGTCCTCCTCATAAAAGAAGGGCTTTGCGACCTCTTGCCTGCAAGTGGCCTGGTAATTTTCTGGAGTCCCGTGACCTTGAGCAGACCTCCTGGAGCCAAACCCAGCAGGTTTCCATTTCTACCATCTCCTCATGTTTAATTTGTCTGGCCTGTCTAAAACATGCTTGTATTGAGCCAACCGGTGTTCAGCCTGTTCAGTGGCTCTACTGGAATCTATACATGTATCAATACACTTGTAACACTTGAACTAGCATAAGCATAGGCCATGTCTGCTACCTATACTTAACACTCTGCACTGCAGAGGTGTTTGGACTTGAGGTGCTTGTATTCCTGTCTGAACTAAGGAAGGAGCAGGATATAAAAAGTCCCCTGATATCATTCTTTGTGCATTTTGATATTTTACTACCAGTTTGGTCCCCTGCTCTTTACTAATGACTAAGGATTCCTTTTATATGTATACGTTTCATTTCCCTACCTGATCTATTGACTGTTTTTGATGATTGCAGCATATCCTCAATGTATAAAATTGTGGTGGAGGAAGCTGGCCAACTTGGGACTCTGCTGTTTAGCGAAACACCTAAAATACTAAGTATTGAGATATATTCCTCTTTATATGCTATCTGTTGGTCAGGACCCTCTGCAGATGGTATAATCTGGAAGTATGTGAAATGGACACAGGGAGGAGATGACGAGGAACTGGGCAGGTTGACGAACAGTGGGAGTGACGACTGTGCACTGGTGCTTGGGGGCGGGGGGGATCCTGGCGTACAAGTCCAAGGGAGTCCAAGGGGAAATCCAGGGTGAAGTCCAAAAGTCCAGAGCTGGGTAATCCAAACGAGACAAGACAAGACAAGGTTTAAAAACCGGAACGGGATCCCGTGCAGGGACGGGGAATAAAAACAAGATCACAAGGCCAGGTGCTCTGAGCCCCGGACTCAGCAGGTTCAGGACGCCGGCCGATAGGAGGCCTATGCCCTCAAGCCGCGGACGTAGGGCGACTTGGTGGTAGGCGGGCCTCCGGGCGTCCGTCTTCCACTGCAGAGCCCAGAGTAGTGTGAGCGTCTGGCTTATATAAGGAGGGGCTGGATAGGAGGCAGGTGCATAAAATCAACTAAAATGTGAAAAAGACGGAGTGCCCTTAAGAGGACTTAGAATCGGACACTATCACGGTAAACAACATTAATGATTGTTTTTAATGTGGTTACGGACCTAAGTTTCCACACTCCCAATTCTTTTCCTGTTTTCTTCTTTTAGGACATTGGGACAGACTGTATACTAAAATTTCTAAATTCAAATGGAAAGGGAAGAGACTTATTAAATTATCAAGCCTGCAGTGTGAATGCTTTGCCAGGGGCTCTGTGCTGCCAAATTATAAATTTAACTTTTACTGCTTTGTTTTTTGTGTTCACTGACTATTTGTATAGCCCTTATACTTCTGTATATTAGCATCCACTTGAGAATATTCTGGTCTTTCCAGATTTTAAGACTGTCGTATATTTTAAATTCTCTTACACACTGTAGAATGCTCTTTTATCCTGTAGTTGTGGCCTTAAGTACAACATGGCATTACTGGAAAAGCAGAAAACATAGTAGTCCTAATTTTCTGATGTCCATAATAGTAACCACTTTACAGGCAATTTTTCTTTTTATTATTGGAGGATCAAATTTCACATAGATGTTTTTGATGATAGCCTCCACGATTTTCACTCTAACACATTTTTCTTTGTCTGTTCTTTGTATTTTTAATATTCACACCTACATTTTCAATACTTGGCCATGGCATCCTCATTGTGCAACATTGGCGATTACGGAGTACATAATCTTTACCTGTGATCTACAAGACCTGCAAAACCTCCACTCATGTCTTTTTCAAGAGGCTTCATACAAACCTTCAGAAGCTGTTACTACAGTATATAGAATATGGATGTCAATAATCTCAATGAAGGAATTTCCAAGCAAAATATTTAATGCCTTCTCTGACATGTATAAACATTATTCATGAGATGCTTTCACAAGCTTTCTCAATTTTGTATCTAATTTGTTTGAAAATTAAAAAATATATATTCTTCCACAAATAAATATGGCACTTTACTAGGAAAGCAGGCTTGTACCCAGTTCTGTATAAGAAAAAGAGATGTCTTACATGCTAAGGAAACTCATATTCATGCAACCAGAGTTACAGTGCCCAAAGCAAAACTCATCCAGAGAGTGGCAAGGTTTTGGAGAGAAAACTAACTGAATCTTCAGTAACTCAGTAAGTCTCTGTTGTGCTTTGCAGGAAAATGCCTGTGCTACTTCAATGCTGATTAGGTGATTAGGGAAAACTGCACAAATGTTTGAAAATTGGCTGAAACCCAGCTCTTGTTCAATAAAAAGCCTAGAGCCATGATCACTGCATTCCACCTGTATGTTATTTTTGGAGTATCACTATTAGAATGGTAATTTCTTGTTATAGCTACATTGCCTATTGAGTATGTTTAGTTTCACAGTCTATGTTACATGTGTTGAGTAATGTATTACTATGTATATAAGTAACTAATAAAGAAAATTGCACTTTTAGTTTATCAATAATGTGCATATACAGTATATTTGTATTCAGTGATTTACCCATTTTTATTGTTCTAATTTATTTTTGTCTGCATTCTTCAAGGGCTGATAGAAGCATTTTAAATATCATGTTGTGTTAGTACACATTCCCAGTGCATTACTGACAGGGGGAAAGCGATACAAACAAATTGTGTGCTCATTGCATCACAATACTCAAGAGGTCTGTAAGCATTTCAAAATGTTGGGCAGATAATGACTTTTTTTTTTAAAGTGTGATGAAAGTCGAACAGTGCTGACCAC